GTAATACATACAAATGTACTCATACCTTACAGATTAATTGTGATTTGTGATATTACTGCAATAGGTCTGTTTGGTGACGTAAGAGAAGAAGAATTTCAAACATTTCATCGGAAAGACGGTTTCTTTTAGGAGTCAGAATTTGTCCTGCCGTACTAAATAGCCTTTCAACTGGTGCAGATGAAGGCAAAATAGTATTATAAATTTTGTATACTTTCATAACGAGGGGATAATTCAATAAAGATAGCTTATCCTTTGATTTGTCTTGAAAATACCTTAGGCATTCCATCTCAACGATACTTTTAAAAGCTGCGGATTCCACATATTCTTTCTCTGACAAATGCAAGCTTGACGTTGGACTAAGAGGACTTTTAAGAATATCGAAGAAATCATCATCTTCGCTGCCAGCAGAAGCAGCGCCACTTTCCTCTTCATAGGCTTTAGCAGTATCTCTTTTAGAGGCTTTTTCACATTCAGTAATGAACAAGGATTTGATAAGCTTAGTTGTGCTCTCAATAAGGTTCACATCTGATGTTGTTGAGGTTATCCACTTTAACTTAAATTTTGGTATCGAAACAGTGGCCAAAATATAGGGTTTTGAGGTACTGCTATTTAAATTCAAAATATCCTTATATCTCTTATTAACGCCATCCAATATTGCGTCTTTTAATGCTGTGCAAAATACCAAATGCGAAAGAGAATTTAACGTTTTTTTAATTTGAAATAATGTAGGAAGTAAATACCCTAAACAGCAACTCTCTTCGCCTTGCAAAATATCAATAGATTTAGCAAGCACTTCCATAACTAAAGCGTACTCTGACAAAAATTCCAACTCAATATTTTTTAATTTTGGTTTTTTTAATTTTTCACATATTGTTTCTAGATGCTCTCGTAATTGCAGGATTCTTTGTACACTATCGAATAAAGAGTTCCATCTGGTGGGACATGGCACTAATAATTATCTGAACCACTGCACAGGGTTCTAAAGGATCAGCTTCTTCCTCCATCAATATTTTAAAAAACTCTCCATTTAAAATCAAAGGCAGATTGTTCTCTTTTGACGCAATCAGAGGATCAGCCATCGCCATGTCTATCACTGATTATCAGTCGTGTATCACTCACTTATCACTCACTCAGTAGACACAGTAGCTGTGTCAGCACTTCAGTTAAAACAAACTCCAAACAGAACTTCTCGCAAGCCGCAAAGCGAAGAACAAGAAGCCATTTTGAAATCTTATTGATATGATATCCACATGTACATTAGCGAAGTAATAAATTGCCGTATGTAAACACGTCTTTTGAGCAGCGGCGTACCAACAGGGGTTTTTAGCGGTTGGTCTTCCCTTGCTTCTGACTCTGACAAAACCATTTATCTTTGAGATTTTGATTTTGTTAAATGTTAATGTACCTAAGGCTTGTAGGTATTTAGGTACCGTCAAAAATGTATCTAGGTACAGGTATAGGTACACTTTTTTTTTTGTACCTTTGCAGGTACTTAGGTACTAAATTAGTACCTTAGGTACAGTACCTAGGTACTTGTACCTAGGTAAGTTACAACACTGGTTGTGGTGAATCTCTTCACTCCGTTTTTGTTTTAGCACTTGTAGCACCCTGTATGCATAAAAAAAGGAGTTGTGCAGTCACAAGGAGTGATTTACCATCAAAGTCTTATAAATACCAACGGTTTCTAGGAACCGCAGATCATAAACCACTATTTAGAGCTAATTGGGCGTTTTTGGTGCATTCACACAACACTTAAGTGATGGTAAATGGTAAGTCATATGTGTAGGTACATGTGACCATAATATAATTGAACATTTTTATAGATAGACATGGATGACTGTATTGCATTTGTTAAAATTGAACCAAAACAAGAAGAAGAAATAAATTTGTCTCTTGAACAAACCATGCTTGTAAAGAATGATGATTGGGCAACTATAAAAAACGAACACGAGACAGAATATAGTGAAGATATAGCTAGCTGTGATTATGATACAAATGTTAAAATAGTCTCGGCAAAACACCCCCTCGAACACAACATTTTTAGTAAAAAATTTAAATGTGACATTTGTAATTATGCAACAAATGTAAAAAGCAATTTGACAAGACATCAGATTTCACACAAAGCTTCTAACAATTTTAAATGTGGCATTTGCGGTTATGCCGCGAAACAGAAGAGGACGTTGACCAAACATGTTTTAACACATATCGTTTTTAAAGATTTGAATTTTAAATGTGACCTTTCCGAATATTTCTCAAATTATAAAAAGGCTTTCAAACTGCATCTGTCAAACTATAACTCTACAAATTTTAAATCTCACAATTGTGATTATCAAGCGCATATTAAAAGGTATCTTCAACAACATCTTTTATTATTAGCGTAAAGACTTGAAGTGCAAGATATATGTGATTATGTCACAAACTTTAAGCATTCTTTGAAACATCTCTTGACGCATAATGTCTCAAATTGTGTGAATATACAACCAACATTAAAAGTTCTTTAAAACAAAATCACCTTACACACATTTCTTTGTAACTGATTGATCTTGACTATACTATATATGATTCAATAAATTTTAAGTATATATTTTTTCTACCATTAGATATAGCTGTAAAATAATAAAAAACTGTAATAGATATAAAATGTGTGTCTACCTTCAATACATATCTCGCGCAGAACTTCAGGACAAACATACAAAAAATAAACGACTGTCTCCTCTGCCCCTGAAAAATGACTTCAAACGACAACAAAGACCAGATGTACAAACAAAAAAACACTCAGCTAGCCTAAATTACAAGATACTTTCAATTTACTGGGTTCGTAAAAACACTAGACTGTAATGATCTTAGCCTCCTACTATCTTGGCGGGCTAACGCCAACTTCAAGTCGCATCGGAATATTTGACCATATTCTGTAGGAGCGGGAATGCCAAACTAACATGGCTGCCTAATTGAATATTCTCGCTTAAGTTTCCCGCGAGAATCCGTCACTCGGGTGCCACTCCGAGTGCACCAAGATCGTGATCACCATGTAGGGCACCTACGTTGTGTAAAAACTGGGTTCTCAGCAGGCACTGAGGGCGTTTTATGGGTAAGGAACACCAAAAGCAATAGCTGATTAAGATTATATTGAAGCTAATACCAATATGGCGCTCCTGCAGAGGGTCTTAAGTGGTTCTATACTACTCCGGCATTTACCTTACGAATTAGGAAAACTGCAAAGCCTACAGATAACATCTAATGTACAGCACTTTTGAGCCCTCTCGAAACCGGGGTAAATACTACATACACGCTATGAGTAACCAAAATGGAATCGAGCCATACCCCAGGTATTACAACACCTACATCAGACAAAACTAAGAGATATTAAATATGCCTCGCCGGAGGGTAGGATTACCCAGGCCCAGTGGGGTGCCTGTAGACGTGGGCTAAAGTTGTTGGGTTTCGGAACGAGTGAAAATGTTAGTGTTAGGACTGTTAGGTTCACCAAGGCCCGTATAAACTTGAATAACTCAATCTCCTCTAAACAAGTACACTTGATTACTCACAGCCCCAAATAAGCAAATATAATGAAATGCAATGAAATAATCGAGAGTGACTAAAAAGCACAATACACAAATATGTACACATGCAAGTATGTACTGCACAGATACAGCCCTCCCGACAATGAAACATGATTGGCAATACCAACAAAGGTTACACATTAAGAGGAAGTGATTGAATCCAGTAAGTACATAAGTAAATGGTTACAATCTGCATTCAAGTTACACACATTTATAGAGTAATTGAATAAAGCAAATACCTCACCTGATATAAAAAGCAAAAGCACACAGCAATGATTAAGGTATAACAAAATATTTCAAGATAAGCCGTACTTTACACTTACGCCGGTTACAAGAAAAAGACCATAAACACACATGTTAAATCGTATTTATTGACTAGTCCAAACGACCGGTAACTTGATCTCTTAACACCCCTAAAAAATACCCGAAAATCGCCCATTCCCTGTATTTCAGGTATTTCTAGGAAAAAACTGGACTGCAGGTATTTGAAATGATAAACACATGTGATCTTCTGAGAAATTCCATCCGTCTCATCTGTGCTCTTTCCCTTTTCTGTAATCCCACCAGTTTTTGGTTGGCAGCTTGTGTAACTAACATGATGTATAGGGTGCTTCGTATCGACAATCATATTCACAGGATGTTTTTAAGGTTGGGGCATCTCAAGATTATGAAAGCTCGGAAATTACCAATAAAAAAAACCAGCGGTCAAATTAATATCAATTCAAGGACAAGGCCAAGTAATCAACATCAATAAACATAAAATAAGCAAGCATTACACCAAAAACGTAAACAATTACAAACAATAGCATAACGGTATCACATATGTGATTAGGCATTGCGATTAAACCAAGTAAATTTCAAAAACAAAAATTGAAACAAAAAAAAATATAAAATGCGGCATACAAAACACAAATACGATATAAAGAAATGCAAAAAAACACAAAATAACAAACATTTATGAAGTGACGCGCTCACGACCGCCATTCAAGAGAAGATATGCCAAACGTAACCCCCGCTCGTGCTTTCTAGATGGCGCAGGCAGCTTTTTCCCATCTAGAAATTGCATGGTTGCCAACTCTCAAAAATGTATGTATCGTCGTAAGTTGTATATACAGGGTGGAACCTTTCACAGTTAAGCCGGGTAACATATTTCGCGTACCGTGAGGGTATTTGTGGATCTTAGAGGAATTTATGGGAGGATTAGGGACAATCGATCTACTCTAAATTTGGGCCTTGAACCGGTAAATAAAACTTTGGGACGCATTTTCTATATTCTCGTCTTCCGACGGATTGCGTAATTGTTGCAATCGCGTGAAATTAAAATTAAGTTAAGCCGGGAGTTTCCAACCACTGATTTTTCTTTGTTCGTCAACCGCTTTCCTTTTAGGTCACTGAAACAATCTTGGCAAATAACGCGGGTCGCTTTTAACTTAACAAAAGTCTACCCATATCATATTTAATCAAAATAATTTAATTCACTAATGGCCATTTGCACCGTCAATTTTAAACAATGTTTCAATTTCACAATGCAAACGATTCTAATTGAAGAACTATTCTCCTTACTAAAGAACTAAACTGGACCTTTTTACACTTAACAAAGATAAACAATATGAAAACAAAACACTAGTTATACCACAGTCAAACCATTATTCGGGAAATTGCGGTTTGACCGACCGATCCAAATCGACGAAGTACGGATGCGCGACTATTCCCTTCGCCGATATCCGCTTGGGGGGATCGTACACGAGCATCTGCTTCAACAGATCGAGTCCGCTTTCCGAAAGGCACTTCACGTGGTTGTCCAAACTGTACGTGCTCCAGCACGGGAACGTCGCCTTAAAATCGGGCAGCGCGGAAACTCCGGGCCACAATTTCTCGTTGGGTGTCATCAGGACGCGAAAGATTCTGAACAGCTGATCGATTTCGGAGTCGCCTTGAAACAGCGGACATTTCGTCGCCATCTCCGCGAAGATGCAGCCCGTCGACCAGACGTCGATCGGGCAGGAGTAGCGCGACGATCCGAGCAGTATCTCCGGGGCGCGGTACCATAACGTGACCACTTCGTGGGTGTACACGCGAACCGGTACGCCGAAGGCGCGACCCAGTCCAAAGTCGGCCACCTGCAATTTACCTTTCATGTAAAAGTTCAGCTATGACTGTTGTCCACAAATAAGAAAGTTGGATCTGCGCATGCGTTTTACTTTTCAAAATGTGACAGAACCGAAGTTGCAAATTCGATTTAATTATCCACTGGCCGCCACAAAAGAAATCAAAGGAATTACGCTTTGTTTCGTCTCAGTGGAACACGTGTTTTTTCTTCGTGCCAGTAGAAAAAGCAAAGCGTTCAAGCAAAACAAAAAGCGCGGTTTCAGCTAAGGCTACTCTACCAACCTAACGACATTTACAAATATCCGTGCCCGAACCCGGATTCGAACCAGGGACCCTTAGTACCGCAGTTGAACGTGCACGCCACTGCACCAAACAGACCCGTTATTTCTTTAGTTTAAAATCTGGAAGGTCTATTAAAAAAATGAGGTTAGTCCCGCTAACTTTTTTGCCTGAGCTCGTATACTTATTCTGAAAACGGTAGATTCTTCAACAACCAGGGAAATGTAAGGTCATTCCGAAATCAATCCCTATATTACTTTTTTTGATAGCACTAACAATTACGGAGATATATAAATGTCGAAAATGGGACACCCTGTACATAGCTTAAGGCTGTAAGTTCATTTAAAATGGTGATCCGTTCCGGGGAATTACGTAGCGGCACGAGTGGCTGCTGCTGCTTCTTCTTGACGCGTTTTGTTGCTCTGGAGTGCGAAGGTTTTCTCTACCGATAACTGCAGAGATTGCTCATTGGGCCATAGTTTACAAGAGCGATACCTATAAATAAGAATGTCAGTAGTGGAAAATCAGCAGTCGTTAGGCGATTGTACGCAGTGAACAAACCCGGGCGGATCAAGAAGAAAGAAATCAAGTCAGAAGCGAAGCGAGCCATCGTCTACATCAGGTCACCTTTGCGCTACGGACTAAGATTTTCGCAGTTTTTCCAAGGGAGAAAACAAGGAAGTTAAAAACTTCCCCGGCGGAACGCTAGTGCGGGTTCTGTCGGCGGTCCGTGCAGAGCATAGCTTGAAGATCAAGCTCTATTCCGAATTGAAGCGAGAAATCTATAGCCGGTTCGTGCAGAGTACAGCTGAAGAGTAAATCTCCGTTCTATTCCGATTGAAAGTTATAGCCAGAAGGCATCTAAAACTCCTGGTGCATAAACAATAAAGGGATTTTCGCGTTGCAGTTTTGCCGCTTTCCGTCGTTTCTTGCCCCGTTGTACATTTGAACTAGCGTTGAGGTGTATTTGATAAAAAACTATTAAATCGAATTTTAAGCTCAAGCTCTATTTAATTTAACCACTTACTTGCGATTTGCATTAAGTTGGTGTTTTTGTGGACACCGCTTGCTTGTAAAGTCTTACACTCGCGCCCGGAAATTCTTAATATATTAACGTATTGCATTCCGATTTATTTTTATTGTATAGGATGTTTGTTAAAATACAATTCATTTTCTTTTATCACCTGACGGGTGTCAGGTGTATATATACATTTATAAACAAAGTTGAATATTTCCTATCAATGCAAAATGTGGCCTTCCAAAATGAATTGTAAAATGCACTAAAAATAGGTAAGTATAATGCGACAAAAACTGAAACACCCTGTGTAAAATAGAAAAATGGTTACACTACAATATTAAAAATCCCAATAAAATTATTTATATATTGCATTTTCACTTACCGTTAACGTTGTACACAGAGCAAGGTAAAATTCTTTTCTGCGATTGAATGATCCTAGGCAAAATACCTACTTTTATAAATAATGGTCGAATAACAAACCCGGCACTTCTAATAAAGATTGAGGGGTAAACCAATTCAAATTTTGTGAACAACTAAAATTCTAAAAAATTCTAAAAATTGTATAAAATAATAAATTCTATAAATTCAAGAAAAGTTCCAAAAAATTCTACAAAATGCTACAGTTTCCTCTGAGTAAACCACATCAAATGTTGTGAACATTAAAATTCGAAAAATTGTGTAAAATAATTGTGTGCGCATGTGCGGTCGAAAAAAATTCTATAAATTCTAGAAACCTAAAAAAATCTAAAAACAGTAGGTACTTCTGTGTGCATGTGCGTTTGGAAAAAATTCTAGAAAATTTTAAAAATTGTATGAAATAATAGTATGCCCATGTGCGGTCAAAAAAATCTATAAATTCAAGAAAAGTTCCAAAAAATTCTATACAATTCTAAAAAAATTCTACAAAATGCTAGTTTCCTCTGAGTAAACCACATCACATTTTGTGAACATTAAAATTCCAAAAATTGTGTAAAATAATTGTGTGCGCATGTGCGGTAGAAAAAAATTCTATAAATTCAAGAAGTTTCAAAGAATTCTAAAAAAAACTCTACAAAATGTTAAGAAATTCTAAAAAATTCTAGAAACCTAAAAAAATTTAAAACAGTAGGTACTTCTGTGTGCATGTGCGTTTGGAAAAAAATTCTAGAAAATTTTAAAAATTGTATGAAATAATAATAGTATGCCCATGTGCGGTCAAAAAAATCTATAAATTCAAGAAAAGTTCCAAAAAATTCTATACAAGTCTAAAAAAATTCTACAAAATGCTAGTTCCTCTGAGTAAACCACATTCTGCAAAATGTTAAGTGTCCTCGGGGAAACCATATCAAATTTTGCGTACACTGAAATTGTAAAAGAAATTCTAAAAAATTCTAGAAAACTAAAAAATCTAAAAACAGTAGGTACTTGTGTGTGCATGTGCGTTTAGAAAAAAATTCTAGAAAGTTTTAAAAATTGTATAAAATAATAATAGTATGTGCATGCGCGGTCGAAAAAAATTCTATAAATTCTAGAAAAGTTCCAAAAAATTCTATACAATTCTAAAAAAATTCTACAAAATGCTACAGTTTCCTCTGAGCAAACCACATCAAATTTTGTGAAGATTAAAATTCTAAAAATTCTAGACAATTCTAAAAAATGTGTAAAATAATAATTGTGTGCACATGTACGGCCGAAAAAATTCTATTAATTCAAGAAGTTTGAAAAAATTCTAAAAAATTCTAAAAAAAATTCTACAAAATGCTCTAGTGCGGTCCAAAAAATTTTATAAATTCACATCAAATTTTGTGAACATTAAAATTCTAAAAATTCTAGAAAATTCCAAAAATTGTGTAAAATAATAATTGTGTGCGCATGTGCGGTCGAAAAAAATTCTATAAATTCAAGAAAAGTTCCAAAAATTACAGAAAATTCTAAAAAAAATTCTACAAAATGCTAGTTTCCTATGACACAGTACAGTACAATTCAAAAAATTCTAGAAAATTGTATAAAATAATAATAGTGTGCGCATGTGCAGTCGAAAAAAATTCTATAAATTCAAGAAGTTCCAAAAAATTCTAGAAAATTCTAAAAAAAACTACAAAATGTTAGTTTCCTAGGGGAAACCATATCAAATTTTGGGTACACTAAAATTGTAAAAGAAATTTTAAAAAATTCTAGAAAACTAGGCAAGCCATGGTATCATCACTTGGCAGTAACTATATTCAAATCAGGCCGTAACGCCTTATGCATTGTACCCAGTAAAACCCAAAAGCTCTTTAAGAATATGTGTACCAAATTTGGTTGCAATAGGTTCACCCAGAAATGAGAGTACAGACAGACTGACACGATTGAGATATTGTTTTTGGTTCAAATCTCAGGTGTTTTTCCATAAAAAAGGAGGGGGTCATTTTTATCCCAATGCAACTAACGTGAGGGTGGAAAAAATATCTCAATCGCTATAGTTGGCTTACTTTAATCGAACCATCCTTGCCGATGAGTAGGTTTTGCGGTTTCAAGTCACGATGCATTATGCGCCTTTGGTGACAAAACAAGATTGCTTGATTAATCTGGTAGAGGTAACTTTGAACGAGCTTCGGATCCATCAGCTCCGTCTTCGACAACTTATCGAGGTACTTCTTCAGGTCCATCGATAAAAATTCGAAAATTAAATAGAGGCGAGATTCATCCATTAGAACGTCATCGAGGGTTACGATATTGGGATGCCGCAACTCTTTCAAAAGAGAGATCTCGCGTATCGCCGTGGACGGTACACCTTCATCCTCGGATTCTACCCTATACATGCTAGTGACATGTACGTACTCGAAGACCATTCGAGATTGCTTACCTTATCTTTTTCATCGCGACCAGTTGACCCGTCTTTTTGTTGCGCCCCTTGTATACAACCCCATAGGTTCCTTCACCGATTTTTTCCATTTTGAAAAAGTCCTCCATTTTCGGTGAGGGTTTCTGAGCAGGTAGAGGTAATTAGGGAAATGTAACTGATTTGAAACTTACCGAAATACGCCCGAAAAATGAGATTTCCTCAACTTTTACTATTTTAGTAAACTGTAACGTACAAATACAAAAGCACTTTCACAGTTTGAATAGAATGAACCAATCACCAATCAGTACGGTTAGACTACGAAAACAACGAATACGCAGTGGCGGCTCGTGCGCTTTATATATTTAAGGTCTCACAATGCTTCATTTTGATGGCGCCACTAGCAAAATGTTTCTGGGCATTGGCACTGCCCTTGTTAGGTTCGTAGTGGAGTTGAGTCTCATTTATTTGAGTTGTGACGAGTTTGTTGTAAAAACGTTAAACAGAGCGTCTAAGAAAATCGCCATGAATAGAATTTAATTTTTCACGTACCTAACGCCATCTTTATGTGTGTAGCGGTAACATTATAGCGTGGTCGTCAATCAGTGCGCACCCGATGACTATTCATTTCTCTTTGAATAAAAACATCTCCGGCATGTATGTGAAATTCTAGTGTACTTAACCTCAAGGTTCTACTCTAACTACACACTACAAGAACAGGGAAATAGTCAACCTGGCAACATTTAAAAATGGCCCCCCGAATCACTCTGAGACCTTAATGACTATTCCCTCCAAAACTAACATGAATCCCGTTTAAATTTGGAAAGTGGCACGTGACGCGGGGCCCCCTTACGTTAGTTATAAACAATGCTATAAACTGAAGTACAGTTGGGAAGGAATGTTTGGTGCAATAAGCTTGGAAAATTACATGGGCAAATTCAATGTTATGACAAAATATATGGAAATCGGCGAATCGCAACTCATATATCACATAGATTCTAAACCGGAAAGTGTTGATTAGCATAATCTTGCCCCCAAGATATTAACTCGCCCCTAGTTTCGAGCCTACAGTTGAATGCCGAAGACAAACACGGAATTAGGTGTTGAAACTCATTTGATTACAGTTTTTTGCCACCCCCTCTTTGGTTCGCTCAAGTTGAGGCACAATTCGCGCTCGCACTTATCACCAAGTACTCATATATGATAATCGCACTTGGGTCAGCGCTATGCAAACGAGGTCGTATACCACCCTCAAAAGTGAGATCATTCACCGTCTATCTGTATCAGAAGAGCGTGGAGGAAGAACTTGGTACGACCGCATCCCTTCGCAGTTTTTTCGCTATTCGTGCTCTCTAGTCGGTAGCGCCACCGTTCAAAACGGCCCATTTGGATGCAGCCCATGTTCAAGTCATGGGTACTGCAACCTCAAATAATCAAACGGGTCTTACCCCCGACACGCTCGCCGTTACGACATACACGATTATAGAGGTTCGGGGGTCTTCCAAATGCGCTACAGATCATTTTTCCCAGCGTTTGGATTAACTTTTCCGACAGATTTCTGTCATGAAAATAGAGATCAGCGAATTAAACGAAAGTTACTATCGATCTCGGATTCAAACCCCCTCAGCGAACGGTCGCAACCGACAGGGTCCTTTGTCAGCCACAAGACCTGTTTCCTGGTATCATCGACGTTTCGGTGACTAAGCCAGCAAGTGTATCAAACCGTGGCCTTTCGATTCAGAAACTCCACGATCCATGCATACGGAATGTTTTCTCTCAACTGTGATCTCGAACTTCGCCGTGATCGACGATATCATTGGCCTCTACGGTTCTTGTCAGTCAGCACGTATTCTCCAGATCAAGGAAATCAATCTCGATTACTGCTTTTTTTTTTGGTGTTAATAGCTTTTTCGCCTCTGCAGAGGTAGACACCGAAGTGTAAACAGACTTCGCGGCGTTGAGCTCGAAATACAACTTTTAGTCATATGGTTACCGTATTCAGGACCTTCAGATACATTCCGGATTGGAGGAGGTCCGGGTAATTAACGATGCATTTTATGTACTTCGGAATGCTATCCTTCACAAATGGGATCCTTTATCTACTTTGTAGTGCATAACCCCCAGGTTCTACGCTAACTTCACACTACAAGAACACGGAAATAAAGTCAACCCGGCAACGTTTAAAAATGGCCACCCGAATGACTATTCCCTCCAACTCCAAAACTCTACCAATAAAAAATAAAAGGAGCGATGGTGGGAAATAGCATAACACGCGAAAATATCACTTCCTTTGCGCTGGTCAGTTATGTCGACTTGATTTATCATAAAACAGAAGAGACTGTGATAATCCACCCTGATGGTTAGGCAACACACATTTACATCCGAAACAAAAATATAATATGCTCTGTATATAACCAACGACCGTTTTGCGCAGATGCCGAATACTAAGGGATTTTGGGAACGAAGCTAGGGGAGAATAGAGAGAAGATGGCGACGAGGTCGACGGAAGACACACGCTTTCCCGGTTTTTTTATTATTCTTGATTATTTTTGGTGGTGGTGTTTTGAAGATGTATTTACAGGTAGTAACCATTTTATTCTTTCTTGTACTAGATATTTAATCATTGAATTTCTTGCCACAATGTGATATTTACATTTTGCTGATTTTGCATAAACTACGATATCTGAATCATGGCGTACTCCATGCCTTTGTTTCGTGTACCGTTAGATGAATCATGTTTGTAATATTGTACAGATGATTATGCCATTATTTTGTTTAATTAAGTAATTTACTTCTGTTATTCATGAGGAGTTGATTATCGGTGTGATGTTGCTCTGTTCGATTGACCCATAACAATTCCGTGAGGGAAGCGCCTAATACAGTTTGATTGTTCGCTGTATCTGTTACTTTCTTATTCGTGGCGCATTAGCTATACGACGGGGGGCTCTTTTATTTGATGTTTCGATGTTTGTGTGTGCGAGTGGGTAATTCTGTCTCCGTGGAGTAGGTACCTAATGCAGTTGGATCTTTCGCTGTATCTGTTGCCTACTCGTCTCGTGCGGATTGTAGTTCTTAACATCTTAGCAATACGAGTGGGGGCCCTCTCATTTACATTTCCTCTATTTAAAATATGTTTTGTTTGAGCGATAATCGATTTTCACATGAATACTTGCTATGGACCAATGGCATTCTTACATGTACTTTTCGTGTTAAATTAAATTATGTTAACTGAAGGATGGAGTAGAGCCACACCATTTACATGTTTGCTATGTACATGCAATTTGTTTATTTGACGAGTTGTGTTATCTCTATTGATCGTACAGGTATTTTGATGTGTTTTTGTACTGAATTGATTTATCATGTTTTCCACTGCATTTATGATGTCTTGTGTATTTTGTTTTTATGAACTTGTTTAATTGCACTTGATTTGATTATCTGATTTTTATCATACAATTTGAGATGTTTTATTTATGTGTATTTTCTCTTGCATTTTATTGCTGTAGGGTATTTATTTCATGTATTTGTGTGGCCTGTGCCAGGGTTTTAGTCCCGTAGAAGGTTTCCCTGGCATGGTCTTGTGTGTGCGTTAATATATTTATTTGATCTTGTCATTTCTTACGCACAAAAGTTCTGTCTTTTATTTAATTCCCTTCCCGATTATGTCTCACGTCCCAACACATAAAAGAACCGAGTACACAACGTAGGAGTCCATTTGTGCCACCCATATCGAGTCGACTGTCATCCAAATTCCAAAAGTGCCGCGAGACTACCATCGTTTCGACTTGAAAGGTAGGTGGCTCTGCTTGTAGTTTTTGCAGAGTTGCCAACCGTAAGTATAGGGTAAGTCAACATTTTCCGTGTCGGCTTGATAGACCCCCCTAGGAACATTACAAGACGATGTCAGTTTTGTTTTATTACACCACTGCCAATAATGGCGCGTTTCTCCCTACTCTTCTCGCACTTTTATCACTTCCTTTTTGTCCATTTCCGTCAAGTCTCCTTTTAATGCAAGGTTCTCTCCTTTTATTTTTTACTCGTAGCCAAAACTAAACAAGATCCCGCTTAAGTTTGAAAAGTGGCACGTGATCAAACATTTAAGGCACGTTACTTGTAGACAACGCTTTGAGCCTGAAGCACAGTAGGGAAGGAACGTTAAATAAAACACAGAAATTGTGAAAAGTTTGTTTAATAATGATCATAATTATTATGATTGTAAAAGCTCGGACATTTAAGTCCAAAATAAATTACATTGCAAAAATAAACTTTGAAAATGGTAGTTCACCGAATAAAAATAGAAATAGGCTGGGAAAAAAAGAACTTACCAATAAAAAAACCAGCCGTCAAATTAATACCAAATTGTGTTGTAAAATTAAGTGTTTGTAATATTGTGAATGCGTAACATAAAAATATAACAGCACAAAAAGTAGCAGGTAAACTTCAAGAGGTAACATAGGTTAAAAACAAGTTTTGGGAATTATGGGTCAGGTAAGCAGGTATACTCGTACCACGATTCTAAGAAAGGGTGAAATACACAGGATGGGATCATAGTTGGTGCAATAAAGTCCTTTTGTTAAAAGCAAGTTGGAAAATGACATGGCCTTGTAGGCAAATTTAACTAAAAACAAGATATGTGGAAATTACTGAATCGCCACTCATTTGTCGCACATAGATTCTAAACTGAAGGGCTTTGATTAGCGTAATCCCGCTCTGGCAAGATAGATAACCCGCCCCTGGTTTCGGGGTTTCGACCCTACAGTTGAATGTCGAAGACAATCACGGAATTAGGTGTCGTAGCTCAATTTTGACAACAGTTTTTGCCACCCCCGTGACTGCTTCATTCACGGAGAAAATGTTAGTTACAAACAACAAGTCAGTACATACATCAAACGAATCGATAACTTCCACAGATTAATTCAGGGACAAGACCAAGTAATCAACATCAATAAACATAAATTAAGCAAGCATTACACCAAAAACGTAAGCAATTACAAACAATAGAATAACGGTATCACATATGTGATTGTGTATTGCGGTTAAACCAAATAAATTTCAAAAACAAAGATTCAAACACACACAAAATATAATATGTGGCATACAAAACACAAATACGATATAAAGAAATGCAAAAATTACTACCTGCATTAAATAACACAAAATAACAAACATTTATGGAGCGACTGGTTCACGACCTCCATTCAAGACAAGATGTCAAACGTAACCCCCGTTCGTGCTTTCTAGGTGGCGCAGGCAGCTTTTCCCCACCTAGAAATTGCATGGTTGCCAACTCTCAAAAATGTATGTATCGTCGTAAGTTGTATATACAGGGTGGAACCTCTCAAACCCCTGGTTCCGATTCCGAGTTCGTGTTTTTCCCGCTTTTGTGAGCATGGTAGCTGTCAACTTTGGTACATCACAACTTCAAATCGGATTTAAGTATGTAATCCTCTGGTAGAATAGCGATTTCGTGTTCTATCCACTCCTCTGTAAGACGAAATCTATCCCGAGAGGATGAGAAAAGTAATTCGGTTAGATGGGGATCTTGGGCAGGAGGTTCATTGTCATCAGAGCGGCTTTGTAGGTCTTTAGTCAACCCGATTTCGCGACAGAACAAAAGAAATTGAAGTGAACGCTGGTAATGCAGTGGTACAGTCATATATATAAGAGAAACAGTACGTACAATACCACGGACAGTCAGGATGTGTGTAAGACCGATGCACGGAAGATAATAGGTAGAATCAATCCATTGGACACGTTCGACTGGGAACAAATGGAAAATCATGTTCTGTGTTTCTTGACAGTAGTTTGACACATTATTGTTTAGTGGTCCATTAAATTGATCTGTGCTTTGTCTATGAATTGATCCACTACTGCTTTTGAATAAATGACATTTGATAGGTTACGAAATATTGAGTTTTTGCGAGAAATTCAAAGATTTCGCAGACATTTTGTATTACCCGGTATATCTAATAAATCAAAATCTAGGGTACTTAGTTATTGTGCAGTTTGTATGAATTTGGTGTATTTTGTTATTTTAATTTTGAGTTTTTGACAACGAGAACGACGTCCTTCTAATCAAAATAAAATTTCGGGTTTTCCCGTTTTATTTCCAAATGTAAATTAAACAGTATAACGAAAACATATCCGAACAAAGCTGTCTTGAACCTAAATCGATGTCACCTACTAACAGTCTTCAACTAACTTCCTTTGTACATCAAAATTACCGATACCAAAGCAGCAGTTTGCTATCTACTTAGATAAAAGTTTACCAAATGAATAAGCGCCGTTTACACGTTTAAACTGTACACATTCCGAGGCTAGTTATTCCATATGGCTCTAACAATGGACAGCAATGTAGTTCGTTTTGTAACAAAAGGTGAGGCCGTTGACTCGGGGAGACGTTCTAAGGGTCTGCTTTCAGACACAGATAAAATCACCAGGGAGAACTATGAGAACTTCAAGACACAGATACAAAAAATCGACGGGACCGTCGTTGCGTATCCTCAAGATCTATCTTACCTAGATGTTACGATACCGGAGGCGAATTATCATCTGGTACAGTGAGTAATCTGGCTAATCACTTATGAGTGTGTACCACATTTTTGCTTTGTTACAAAACTGTATCAAATCTTTCACTTTTCTTAGAATAAGGTCATTTACTTTCTCTTTCATCACTCACAAACAAAAATGTTTTTCTAAGCTGTGGTCTCAGTGCCATTTTCTTGTGGTTTTAACTTTAACCATCATGGATAATCTCGCGCTGTTTTTTCCTCAGTAAGTATTCAGCTTTATTTTAATGCACCTCAAATAAACGGTAATTTCAAAAGGTAATAATAGTAATCTTATCTCCTATTATCGGGCGTTGTTTTTTCTTATCCTCAGGCACGAATTTACTTATTTACACGTTCTAGTGTTAAAAATGAAAGAGGAGACGTGGCCTCTCCTCGCCGAATTTGAGGGGTGCTGCCACATTCGATTGTTGAAGTATTCTAATCGCATATTTTTCTCGTAGGGATGCCACCGAGACTCTCGGCTTGAGACCGTTGACCGACGTGAGTAAGGAGAGTGGGGCATCGCTGCTTACCGCCACCGGCGACGGGTACAGAAATGAGGCGCCCGGTCCGGAAAGCGCCGTCAGAGTTAATATTATTGGCATGACGTGTCAGTCTTGCGTACGTAACATTGAAGAAACGGTAGGGAAGAGGCCCGGTATTGTTAGTATTAAGGTTCATTTAGCAGAGAAGTTCAGCTTCGTGCTGTACGACACGAGCCGGTTAACGCCGCAGGATATCTGCGATTATATCGAGGATATCGGTTTCGAGGCGTCACTGCCGCTTCTGCAGGATAGCGAAGGTTTAGTCAATACGTGTGTCGTACATATCGAGGGGATGACGTGCAATTCGTGCGTGAAGAGCATAGAAGGTCTGTAAACGTGGGTATTCGTTTTATGGTGTTGTTGACGTAGGTTTCAGGTATGCTTAGCGTTAAGGAAGGAATTAGAGATGTGAAAGTGAATTTAAATGATAAGGAAGGTATTATACAGTTCGTGGCCAAGGTCTCGCCAGATGACATCATAGAGCAGATTAAGGATATGGGATTCGATTGTTACATCAAGGCAGTGAATGGAAAGACAGTTAAAAGGGGTTTGTATTATTTGTATGCTCAGCTCCTTGGAAATTTTCTACAAAAGAGTGTGTCAAAGCAAAGGAGTTTCCTCAATTTCTCTACAGTCATTTCTATGACTTGTTTCTGTGCAGAGAATGCATGGGGCCAGGTCACTCTATTGTCACCTGTTAGGGTAAAATCGAGGGGAAAATATATGATGAAATTAACGTCATAGTACCCAAATTGACCTTTCTAGCAAGCGCGCATTTTCGTCCTTCAAAATTAAGAAGGTGAATAACGCAATTATCGAAATTATGTTCGTGAAGGTTATTGTTGACAATTGTTCATTATCTCATGGGTACAAACGGTCCCCAAAAACGTTGTACCTATATGTTAATGTACCAGGTGACCCAATAAGACGGTTCCTCGGTCATATCTCGATAACCGTTCGTCGTATGACTTAGGGGTAAAAAAAATTATTGGGTAAATCGGTCATGAAGAATCGCTGGAAAATAATTTACAAGTTCTAAAAATGACCAACAGAGGGCGTAACTGCCATTTTAAATTTTCAAATTGCTTTTTCTTTAAATTTCCCATAATATATTTTAAAAAATGTTTCACATTTTTAAAGAGAACCAGTTTATCTATCATTTTCGTAAAAAGAAAAACTCAGATTTCAAAAACAAAAATGGTGTGGGGCGTTCAATTGTTTTTGCAATAACCTACTTTAACTTCTTAACCGTTTGGCCGATTTTAACAAATTTGGTATGGTTGAAAAGAGCATTTCTCGGGCAACGAGAATCAACCAAAATATATTTAATTTAGTTGAATCCTTCTCCGCCAGGGGGCTAGTTTTGACACTGTGATCCAAAATCCTAAAAAAATCAAAAAAATCAAATGGAAGGATATGACTTTCTCTTTATGAAAAAGTAGCCAAATAACATCCAGAGGCTAGTGAAAACCGTGTTGCAAAATCTCTTTCCTAACCTCAAATATTGGGAAAATGAGATTAATTAATTAATAAAAATGCTTAAATTGCATTCAGAAAGTGCAGTTTTTTGAATTACAAATACCGGAAACCCTCTTTTATCGAAACACTGATTACTTAACTTTAAAACAGAGCAATAATCGTTAAATAAAATCCATTAATTGCGTTATAATTAAAAATTAAAGATATGTCTACCATATTTACACTTTACGGTTGGCAAGATGGAATGATTATGATATGACCTTGTTCTTGTGTTTACATTTTCCCAATTGCTAGACTTGGTCGTTTACTTGCCTTTAAAGTTAAGTAATCAGTGTTTCGATATAAGAGGGTCGATATGCTTATTTAATGCGCATAAGGTCAGTATAAGCCCGTAAAGAGGACCTATTTAAAAGTGATACTTAATGTATGGGGCGATAGGGGTCAATATCTTCGACAGTAAACCAGCCAAGTCCAGCATTTCGAATTTCCCGCTCAAATTTGACGTCACGCCATTTTACATGCGCATGCCTTTAGTGGCAAGTAAAACTTTTGAAAATGGGAAGGGGGGGGGGGAGGACCACACGTTTTATCCATTCATGGTATTCTAATTAAAGGTGTCAACAAAAGGAACTGTTTTCTACGAACTATCGCCCTTTTTTCTGACTGAAAAAATTCGAAATTACTACAAACGATTTTTTGAATTTTTAAGAAATCTTTTTTGAACCTTTTTGAATCGATATTGAATTTTTTCAGTGTTTAATTTAAAAAAAAAAGAATTTAATATGCTATTTTTAGATTGAAATATTCAGGGTATGCCATTTAAATAAAATTAAGTTAGATCCAATAACTTTTTTACCCGATAGTACTGTATAATTATTTATTTTGAAAACGGCAGATTATTTATAAATAATTTTCAAGAAACATTTTTTTGTTTCTGTTTTTACTAAGAATATATACGGTCATTCTGAAATTGAAAATTGTTTGATTTATCTCCGTATCTCTGAAGCAAAAATGTGCAAATTTTGATTTTAGCATTGGAAGTTTGACCCAAAAAGAGCCCATAACGCCTATAAAAGTGTCGAAAATGGGACACCCTGTAGATGAAACACTATGTAAAATTCCAAAAGGAAAATAAAAATGTATTTTCATTTAAAAAAAAGTTGTTGGTTCTTATTTTTGAGCATGTGGTCTTTTTAAACTTTAAAACTTAATACGGTAAAATCAAAATTTTCGCTCGGGTAAGAAATACAGGGAAAACCACAAAATTGTTAATTTCAAAATGATTATCGGCCCGTATTATAAAACCATACAGCATACTTAACTATGTTGTCAGCTAACAGTGTTGTTAAGACATGTGATTGGATGTTTTTACAAACAATAACCATTTTTAAGCCGGCTCGTGTGTCGCAGTTAAGTTGAAGCTGGACTACGGTACTAAGGGTCCCTGGTTCGAATCCGGATACGGGCATGGGTATTTGTAAATGTGTAGTGGGTTAGGTTGGTAGAGCAGCCTTAGCTGAGACCCCGCCCACTCAATACTCAAGACAACAAGTTAAAAAAGTAATCGTAAATGATTTACAAAAAGCGCATTTCCACTTGCATTCATTTCTCATTTGTCAGATGCCACTTCTATTAAAATCGTAAAAATCCGACCACAAATATGTAAGATAGCGTTTGTATATGTGCAATCCATTTTTGACGTGCAACTTCAAGTTCAGTTTATGAGAAGAATATCATTTCAATGCTTTTCTAAATAAGAAAGTTGGAACTGCGCATGCGCAAACCTAAATTTTAAAACTAACGTTAGATTTTCCTTTGTTTCAAATTTCAAACTTCAAATTTCATTTAAATGCTTCCATAAATAAAAAAGTTTGCAATTCGGTTTATAATTACTCGAGATGCGAACAGGGCACTGTGAATTTTGGATCGATTCGACTCAACTTTTGGCATTGCGTATTATATGGCTAAAGCTATGCCCATATTGAATTTGAAGTTAGACGACAGTTTTAGGACCGTCTAGGCCATTGTTTAGCAGCAAACAGTGATTTAACTTTTTTTGTAATTATCTCTCTTTAACGCATTTTTTGCAAATTTATTTGTAACACGGTCGTTTTTAATCGCACTTTGGCCGGCGGGCTAGCTGGCTGGTAGCAAATGAGACCCCATAGAAGATCGCTTGTAGAAAGATGAGGAGTGTACTTGTACCTACCGGGCCGCATAATTAACAATTCTTTAGGGGCGGGGCTACATGATGTGGGGTCGGTGACATCCGGGCGCCATCCCCCAGCGTGGTTTACTAACGTGGTGATTTTTCAGTTTTTCCTGCAGAAGAAGATAGGAAAAAACTAAAAAATCACTACGTTAGTAAACTACGCTCGGGGATGGCGCCCGGATGTCGCCAACCCCACATCATGTAGCCCCGCCCCTAAAGAATTGTTAATTATGCGGCCCGGTAGGTACAAGTACACTCCTCATTTTCCTACAACTGCAGAAGAAGACTAGAAAATCACCACGCGGTTACCTTTTGAAAAAGTTACTTTGTGACTTTCATGTTGCAATATAACAGGCTAATAGAAACTGGTCTACCACACAAAAATGCGCTGAAGTCCATTCGATCTCATACGATTTTTTTCTCATAACGTCATATTTAACCTTCGATACTTACTATTAATTGTTGTGTGCGTATTGGATTTCGTTTCGCACATTTTATAGAATAAGTAGGTAATAAATTATTCGACAGAGTACAATCAATGTATTTTTTTACGGAATGCGTCCTCTTAAAAGGTCGAGCAGTAAAGAAAAGTGAAAAATTGTTTGATTTATTTAAAGAGAATGTGCGTAAATGTATCAGTTCAAGGTCAGACATTATAAATGAATTCGTAAGTCGCGGCTATGAGTGGTTCATAAACGCATTCAGCTACCCAATTTAGTGATCTGTCCTACATAACAGAGGGCCTGAATGAAAATTTTCCCACGCTTACATCGCCATCTACTTATGAGGTGTGTGAAAGGTGGCCACAAATTAATAAGCGTCTGAGATTAATTAATTAATTAATTGAAATGCTTAACTTGTATCTTAAATTTACTTTTTACGTATTGCCGGTATTTGTCGATGGCGCCAAAGAAAAGCACCCTATACTTTTAGGTAGGCCTTGGAAAATTAAACAAATGAAACACGATGTGTTATAAAATAATAACAGCCGTAATTTGTAAATTATTCTGCTGTGCATATTAAATGCTTCTTGGTGAGAAAGCTGTTATTATTTTATAATGTATCATGTTTCATTTGTTTAATTTTCCAAGGCCTATCTAAAAGTGTAGGGTGCTTTTTCAAACAATCTTTCGCGTCATCGACAAATACCGGAAATACGTCAAATAAGATACAATTTAAGGATTTTTATTAATTAATTAATCTCATTTTCCCAATATTGAAGGTTAGGAACGATATTTTGAAAAACGATTTTCCCTGGCCTTTTTGGATGTTATTTGGCTACTTTTTCATAAAGAAAAAGTCATATCATTCCATTTGATTTTTTCAGGATTTTGGATCATAGTGTCAAAACTAGCCCCCTGGCGGAGAAGGATTCAACTAAATTAACTATATTTTGGTTGATTCTTGTTGCCGAAGGAATGCTCTTTTCAACGTTACCAAATTTGTTACAATCGGATTAAGAAGTTAAAGCAGGTTATTGCAAAAACAATTGAACGCCCCACACCATCCTTGTTTTTGAAATATCTAAGTTTTTGTTTTTACGAAAATGATAGATAAACTGGTCCTCTTTAAAAATGTAAAAAAAAGAATGCTTAGTTTTTATGCGAAATTGAAAGACAATGCAATTTTAAAATTTAAGATCGCAGTTACGCCCTCTGATGGTCATTTTTTAAAAACATTTCCCAGCGATTCTTCATAACCGATTTACCCAATAATTTTTTTACCGACGAACGGTTCTCGAGATATGGTCGAGGAACACTCTTATTGGGTCATCCGGTACATGGAATAATTTTCCACTAAAAATAGAAATCCAAGGCAATTATGACTTGTATTTACAATTTTCGGCCTAGGACATCATATGATGATACAGATAAATATATTTTTTGATTTATTTTTTCCGATAGTATAAGTAAAAAAATTTGCTGTGGCTAGCACAGACTCCACCCGCACACCTCGACACGGACCGACCAACATCATTGAGATTTTGTTTGATTCGGATTCCTGGTGATTCAAAACGTGTATTACCGTAAACAAGTAAAAAGGTTTTCGCCATAAGGCGAGTAACTTCAGCGCATTTTCCGAATGATCAGTACTTCCCAAAAGGCCATAGCTATGTGCGCTGTGATTTTCTTGACTAGAGGCATACATGCTTAAAATTTCAAAGAAATATCTCCATAAATAAGAAAGTTGGCATTGCGCTGCGCATGCGCACATCTGATTTTTACTATGTGCGATATATTTGCCTTTACCAGAAATATCTGTGGTTAAAAAAAGCTCTGATCCACTAAACTCCTTCTCCCTAATTCCATTTGTGTAAAGACTCCTACTGCCTTCTTCCAGTGATGCCAGTCTTTCATTCAACCTTCTTATGGTACCGGGATTAAAGCAAACGGAAAGTTTCTAGAAACATCACGGAACATTCTCAAGAACTCCTGAATTAGCTGATCACATTTCTCGGAAAGAACGCGTCACGTAGTCCGCTTTCGACCCTTATCGCCGGTGACTAATCTATTATCGACTTGATGGCGCCCCATTGTACTTGATCAGTATTTATTTTGAGGATGAAACGACCTTTACTCAGTTTACTTTATTCGAAATTTCATGTCCTTTCAAAATACTTAAATATATACAGGGTGTTCCATTGAATAAAAGTTACTTTATGTGCCAGCACCTACTCGATGTTATAACCCTTATGTTTATCTTGAATATTATGTTAAGTTGTTTTCAATAAATGCATTATTATTATTTAAAAACACGAATGTGGGAACGAGTCATACACGCGCGAGCCGAGCGGAGGGGAATTGCCCTAGAGTTCTGATTTTTTGGAATAGGTAGCCTATACCTGAAAGGCCTTCAAATTTTATTGTTTTAAGGAGGGTGTTGCCTCTAGTGGTGCCAAGTTAAAATTTTGAAAAAAAAAGGGTGGGAGTGTTGGTCTTCTAATGAAAGGTATCATAGAAAGGAATTGGTTTATATAAACTATAACTTTCCAATGCGACCCTTGTTTTCTACCAACTACCGCCCTTTTCGCTTACACTTTATCAAAATGGGGGGGGGGGGGGGAATAACTGGTTTTATCCTTCATGCTACTCTAATTAAAGGTCTCAACGATAGGAATTCATTTCAACCAATCGCAGTCCTTCTTCTTGACCCTTTATCGTGATCGGATATAATTCCTTATATCTCAAGAGCATATTGTCGGAAGAGGGTACTCACAAAGGGAGACCGGGACGTCTGGCAGAAATATATCCATATCAAAACTTTAAGAGCGAATAGCAAACGGTAAGAGTTACGTGGTCGCCGCCGCGGGTCAGCGGGTATTGATGATGGGCACGTCGAACCGGGTAGGGTACAATTTTTTATCGCCCCGCCCCTCTCGCAAGAGGTGAAAAAACACCTTTTTGGACCTGGACGAAAGGTTCTTCGACCTACGAGGTCTGTACTTTCGGAATCCGTAGTCGTTAGGGGTGGGTACTTTTGGATTTTTTTCGATCCGGTTTCCCCCCCTCGGGAGGTAAGAGGGCGCACCCCCTAGGCCGTTTTCAGGGAAAGTCGCTACTTTAAAAATTCGTAGCGGTCGAAGGAGGGGAGATACGAAACAACTTTACGTTGCCCGTTCTGTGGCGCGAACGAATGGAGGGGCACCAGGAGCGCGTAGGAATGTTTCGATAAAAGTGCGCTTTTTGGGGTAAAACGGATGTTCCCGCGGGCGTTATGGGAAGGCGGATATGGCGAATCGTACGCGGGACGTGAGGACTCTTCGAATACGCGGTCTGCCGAATTTGGACCCCTCCGCCCTCTCATGCACCATGGAGGAAAAGTCGAGGGGGGGGGGCGTACCGTGTGGTGGTTTTTTTTCGTTGGCCTCGTAGTTCGATAGCGGTTCCGAGGTGCCCGATCGGAGGGTTCGATCGCGGAGCGGCGGGGGGCGAGGAGGCGAGAGTGACGTTTTTAGGCACCTTTTCGCGAATCATTCGAAAACGTGAAGATACAGAATTTGATGAAAGTGTTATCGCCACGAGAGCATTGGCCGACACGCCGTCTGTATTTTTTTCAGAAAATATCTATCTTGGGGGGGGGGGGTCAAAGAAAGAAAAAATGCGTTTCGCAAAAGCGAAGATAGCGAATCGGACGCGAGACGTCACTATGTAACGACTTCGCACCCCCTCCCCTCCCGCGCAGAGGTACAGTTATGCCCCCCCTCCCCGTACATACATTGCTTATACATGGCAATTTTGGCGTTTATTCGGAAACGACGGAGGCAGTCGCCGAAGCCCAAAATGTCTTCTTCAATGTACGAGACGAATCCGAGCAATGTGTCAACGCGGTCCTGTGCAAGTGTGAGATTTGGCGTCATCTACATCCGGGTTACATGTAGACGGCCCCCCCCCCCCTCCCTCAAATGGCCTATGCGTATGCGCTATCTGTGATAGGTCCCTCCAATGAAAGTAAACAAAACGCATGCGCATGAGCAAGGCGCGACTTTCGTATTTATCCAGCAATTTGAACGAAATTTCTATTGTAGGTCCCTCTAATGAAAGCAAACAAAATACATGATCCCAAAAACGTATTACCCGCAACTTTCTTGCGCTAGCGAAGTCTTTACCAGCCTGTACGCTGAATTTGACTAAAAAAGAGACTATCGATATATTGGTGCTTTTTTGAGCCACATCAAAATTTTTTTCGTTTCGTAAAAACAACCCTAATTACATTATCACAACAATCAAGCATAAAAACTTAACAAACGGTATTTACTAACAAAACGGGAGTGAGGATAAATATCACATACTACTACCTTATAACCCAATTATTAATTAATTAATTATTGGTTTTATTAGGCAGATAAGTGTACAGTCTATAATACTTAACGTGTCAGCTGATATCAATAATAGGGCGAGGCATGGAAGTGATTGAAGCGCTTCTAAGGAAGTTATCTGTCAGATAAAGCCGAAACAATTGCTTTATGACTAATGTAAAACGTGATCTGCTCTGTTTTTGAAATCCCAATACCACTTGAACTTTGATTAGTGTCGTAATTCCGATAGCACTGATAAATAAATAAATGATCTAATCGTTGGTATAGTACAATGCTCTGATTTATTTGTTTATCTTCCTTTCTGACTGTGATCCCTTTGGATTGGTTTGGATGAAAGTTTGCAACAAGCAGACTTTGTTGTCTTAAGAACCCCCCCCCCCCCCCAACTATGGCTGTTTCTGAAAGTAAAACGTGCATAAGTTTTACATGCCACAGCCAATTCCTCTCAGATTTGGCATACGCTTCTAGTGGTGCCAAGTTAACCTTTTGAAAATTGGAGTGGATGGGGATAAACACGGAACTATCACTGATCAAAATCGAGGCGCTGGACGGATACTAATGAGGCCTCGACCCCTTGTCGTGATCGATTTATTCCGAAACACATGAAACGAAAATTTAAAACAAAAGCTTGTTTGGACATAATACCCCTCACGCAGGCGTTCAACAAAGAAAATAAGAAAATCTAAAAATTAGTTATTTTTTTCTCTTTTATAACTTTCACAATAAACTAATCTCCTTCCTCAAGATCTTTCACAAACACCACCAGTCATCATTAGGCTTGATAACGCCAGCTTCTAAAGGACGCGCCCCCACTTACGTCTAACTAATGCGCACATCGTTGAACACCTACATATCTCTTCTAACAGCGATAAGAACACGTGCGATAATTAAATTTCGTCCGATAACAAAACTTCTTATCGCAAACGACCAGATGTGCCTACATTTTACCACGCATTTTCACGTTTTACAATTTTACCAACAATTCTAAAAGGAAAAATAACACTGAGACAAATTAAAATGACTCGAAATAATTCTGTGTTTATTCGTAAATAATGTTTGGTGGTATTCTGGATTACGAAAGTTCGATAATAATTTTTAGTATATTTCTGTTCGATAAACAGACTATAACAACGTTTTATTCTTCAGATTCAGACAGTCCACCGCACGAAATTGTCCAAATACAGAAACAGCAAGAGGAAGATGTTTATTTAGAAAAATGCCAACTGCACATAAAGGGAATGACTTGCGGATCGTGCGTCGCCGCCATCGAAAAGCACTGTCTGAAAATAACAGGTAATATCCGTTTATCGCTCTTTTCGAAACTGACCGCGTGCGATTTTTAGGATGTCACAATATACTGGTGGCGCTGCTTGCCGCAAGGGCCGAGGTTACCTACGATCCGTCGTGCGTCACGCCCAGAGAGATAGCCGACTCGATTTCGAACCTCGGATTTCCGTCGTCGGTGCTGCAGCAGGCGGGCGCCGGCGAATCGGATGTCGACCTGCAAATTTCGGGGATGACCTGCGCCAGTTGCGTTTACAAAATCGAAAGCTCGATCTCGCAACTGCCGGGCGTGCTCGGCGCCAAAGTCGCACTGACCACGCAGAAGGGTCGATTTAGGTACGATCCAGAGGTGACGGGCGCGCGTTTTATCATCGACGCGATCAACGCGCTCGGGTTTCACGCCGAGCTGTCGTCGCGCGAGCGCAATAACGACTACCTGAAGCAGAAGGAGGAGATTCGCAAGTGGTGGCACGCGTTCCTGGTGTCGTTGGTGTTCGGCGGACCGTGCATGCTCGCGATGACGTACTTCATGATCGCGATGTCGGCGGGGTATATGTCGCACGAGGAGATGTGCTGCGTTGTTCCGGGACTGTCGCTCGAGAACTTGATCATGTGGGTGCTTTCGACGCCTGTGCTGTTATTCGGAGGCAAGCACTTCTTTATACAGGCGGCGAAGGCGCTGAAACATCGCACGACGAACATGGACGTGCTGATAGCGATGGCCACCTCCATTTCGTACGTTTACAGCTTGTGCGTCATCATCGCCGCGATGGTTTTGCAGCAGAAAACGTCGCCCCAAACTTTTTTCGACACGCCCCCCATGCTTCTGCTGTTCATCAGTTTGGGAAGGTGGCTCGAGCACATCGCAAAGGGACAGACTTCGGAGGCGCTATCGCGTCTGTTGTCGCTCAAGGCGACGGACGCGGTTCTCGTTACGTTAGGCTCGGAGGGTGAGATCCGGACCGAAAGTCAAGTGAAGGTGGATCTCGTTCAGAGGGGCGATTATCTCAAAGTGATTCCGGGTGCCAAAGTTCCGGTCGACGGACGCGTCGTGCAAGTATGTTATAGTTTGGTACTGGCCCATTTGAACACCCCTTGGTTAAAAATCCAGAAAATGTAGATTTCAGACAAATCTGATATTCCAAACTGGAAAATAACGGTTTTTCTGCCTCGGCTGGCTCACTTTATTTAAAATTACCTTGATTCAATTTCCTTATAGTAAGAGGGGATTTTTCGGATTCATTCGGTTGACTAAGTGTTGAAAGGTGTGCATTTCAAGAATCTGACGATTACAGGTTTCTGTTCCTTTTGAGAGCCTTTTAGGCGCGTTCTAGATTGTTCTCTGCCCCTCCCAAACTACGTTCTACTAACAACTCTAAATCTTAAAATGTATATATTTAACTCAGTTGGAAGATTTCCGTTATTTAGTATTGAATTTATTTGCTGATAATATTTTATATAGTGAAAAATTCAAACCGAATAGACAGTCTTTAAATAATGTTTGTATTTACGGTGTAACCGTCAAATTTCCAACCCATCAAAGTCCTTAAAGGACACCACATATAGAAAAGTCCACCTTACCTTACATGCGTCGCATCTAAAGGTACCCCTTGAGTCGTCCAACTTTGGAATATTGGATCACCCTATATTTAGGTCTCACGGAATGAAGCCGAAAGTTGTCGATGGTAAAATTACACTTTACCTTAAATGTACAGCGTCTAAAACTACCTCTTGAGTCGTCCAACTTTGGAATAGGTTGTAGTAATTTTAGTAAAACTTACCATGTTTAAAAAAAGGGTTTATGGCAGGTGAGTAATGCGGTTCAACAAAGTCTTACTCGAATTTTACGTAATTCCTCGCGTATGTTCTTGGCACTCACTCAGCCCTTGATTAAATTTCACTTATCGCGCTCCCAACTTAACGCTTCCTTGACTTTTTTAACCATGCTACTTCAGGATCACCCGTATAAAATTTTTGAGCTTGTGCTTACGAACTCGACTGCCTAGCACTTGACGCTTCCGCCGCCAAAACCTGAATGCCCTATCAATTTTTCATTATTTCATCCCTACTTTCGTAATGTTTACAAAATACGCCTACAAAATGGGGCCGAGACGATTTGTGATTTTGTGATGGTCCATATCGCCGAGTAGGGTGCCGCTTCCCTAGATACCGCCATCTTGGTTTTTAACGCATTTAAGATTTGCTTACTTATCTGTCATGGTTTTTGACGTTTTTTTTCTCTAAAAATTGAAAGACGCAAGGGTGATTCAAACATTTGTATCTCTTAAACCGATCAAGATAAGTAGATGCTCTTTTCTTTAATTGAATCCTTAAAGTCGAACGAATTTTTTGAGTGACCGCCGAAAGTGTTTCAAGGGTTGCTGAATTTTTCAAAGTTATGCCATGAACTGTAGTTTTTCAAACAAAAGTTGCCCCTCTCTCATAATCGCACGAGAGTAGCTCTAGGGACAATGATGACAAGGAAGGAAAACCTTCCTTTCTCACTTCTTTACCAATTTGCGTTTTGCAATTTCACATTATAATAGTTTTCAACCCGTACGATAACATTGGGGAATTATATCTCCCTCATAATCATGACTACACTGATTTTTAAAATATTGGCCCGTATGAATAAAAGTAAGCAAATGCTTATACTTGCAAAATTCAAAGTAAATACTCGTAACTGCCCCTTCATACTGGTCTGTTTAGCATGGTTTAGCAGCGCTGCTCTGCGTCCTGTCCTTCTGCTTAGAAGCGCTGGTAAGTCGCCCAGTGCGAAGGAGCACTTACGAGTATTTACTTTGAATTTTGCAAGTATAAGCATTTGCTTACTTTTATTCATACGGCCCATTGTGTCACCGTCTTTCACGGACCTAAAATTATATAGGTACCTACTGAGACTGTTATGTAACGAAATCCGACATTCACACCAAGGGCTCGCTGGAACATAACCTGTCTCAGTATAGTAATGTATAAGGTTATAATTTGAATTAACGTGAATTAATAACTGGAATTACCGTGAATTAATTTGAATTTACGTGAATTAATAATTTGAATTAACATAAATTCATAATTTGAATTACTGTGAATTAATTTGAATTTAAGTGAATTAACTTGAATGAATACGAATTAACATGAATTTACGTATTTTGAATTAACGTGCATTAATTTGAATTAGCCTGAATTAATTAGAATTAAAGTGAACTAATTTGAGTTAAAGTTAAATTAATTTGAGTTCGCGTGAATTTACGTGCATTAACTTGAATTAACGTGAATTAATAGTTTGAATTACCGTGAATTAATTGAATTTACGTTAATTAACTTAACGCATGAAACACAACTCGAAATAAATTGACAGATCATGTATATTGAGGTCTAGAGGGAAACAACTTTGAATTTTTGATGTACACCCCTTTGAATTAATTTGAATGAACGTATATTCAATTGAATTAGCGTGAATTAATTTGAATTTACGTGAATTAATAATTTGAATTACCGTGAATTAATTTGAATTTACGTGAATTAATAATTTGAATTAATTTTAATTAGCGTTTATTAATTTGAATTTACGTGAATTAACGTGAAATAATAATTTGAATTACCGTGAATTAATTTGAATTTACGTGAATTAATAATTTGAATTTACGTGAATTAACGTGAATTCATAATTTGAATTACTGTGAATTAATTTGAATGTACGTGAATTAACTTAAATGAATACGAATTAACATGAATTTACGTGAAGGACTTTGAATTAACGTGCATTAATTTGAATTAGCGTGAATTAATTAGAATTAAAGTGAATTAATTTGAACTAAAGTGAATTAATTTGAGTTCAAGTTAAATTAATTTAAGTTCGCGTGAATTAATTTGAATTTACGTGCATTAATAATTTGAATTACCGTGAATTAATTTGAATTAGCGTGAATTAATTTGAATTTTAAGTAAATTAACTTGAAATAATAATTTGAATTACCGTGAATTAATTTGAATTTACGTGAATTGATGTGAATTCATAATTTGAATTACTGTGAATTAATTTGAATTTACGTGAATTAACTTGAATGAACACGAATTAACATGAATTTACGTGAAGTATTTTGAATTAACGTACATTAATTTGAATTAGCGTGAATTAATTAGAATTAAAGTGATTTAATTTGAGTTAACGTTAAATCGAGCGTTAAATTAATTTGAGTTCGCGTAAATTAATTTGAATTTACGTGAATTAACATGAACTAACGTGAATTAATAATTTGAATTACCGTGAATTAAATTGAATTTTCGTGAATTAACTTAACGTATGAAACACAACTCGAAATAAATTGACAGGTCATGTGTATTGAGGTCTAGAGGGAAACAACTTTGAATTCTTGATGTACACCCCTCTGAATTAATTTGAATTAACGTGAATTTACCTGAATTACTGTGAATTCATTTGAATTAAAGCGAATTAATTTGAGTTAAAGTTCAATTAATTTGAGTTCGCGTGAATTAATTTCAATTTCCCTGAATTAATAATTTGAATTAGCGTGAATTAATTTGAACTTACTTGAATTAATTTGAATTACCGTGAATTAATTTGAATTTACGTGTATTAACGTGAATTAATAATTTGAATTACAGTGAATTAATTTTAATTTACGTGTATTAACGTGAATTAACGCGAATTAACATGAATCTACGTGAATTATTTTGAATTTGTTTTGTTAATTTTGTTTGAGTTAATTTGAATCTGAACTTTTGCTGTATACCAAAAATGGTACTTGTTTCACCCTAGATTAAGGTTTGGTTCACCTTATCACGCTAAATTTTTTTAATCGCTCTTTATTTGACGCCCTCACGTAAAACAAACAAAACCCCTCACTTATCGCACAAGCTGATAATAAAAATTGGATAGGATGGAAGTGTGGTCAAATTGTTCTTTTTTGGAGGATCTTCCATACACGAGAGTTCCAAGGGTTGAAAGCTTTGTGGGAGAATGTGGCACCATGAGGTAGGGGGGGGGGGGGGGAATACACTGCCATGGTGGTAAATAAATGTATCGAAAATACCTCCCCACATGTTGATGTCTTGGCGTTCTGTTTAAACGTGGATTGGTTCTATAGCAGAATCTGGTCTTCCGTCGAGAAACGACGCGCTTTTTTAAAGTACCATGTACTTTAAGGTTTTATTTATTATTATTTATTAATTTGCTAAAAGTTCATTTATTTGGCTGTCTCCTTTCAAGATACTTCTTAGAACAATTTCGATTGGCTAAGATGACATATGCCACCATGTCATAGAAAACATACTAATTATTATACAATAAATTAAACACCAAACCAATACGTGGAAAAACCAACTGTGATGTTTTACAATGTAAAAAATTTGAAAATCAAAATCGATACGTTACCTGAATTATACCTTTAAATCAGTAAATACTGCCAAATGCAGGTATCGCGTTTATTTATGATGCAAACGTTATAGGTAACAATTTAAATAAAAACAATTCAATGTAAGCTTGGTAAGATTGTTTTTTTCTAGGGCAAAGACCTTTAACCAGCTTCCACCTTGTATATAGTTTCTCAAAATTGTAAGACTCAACTGTTTTAAATCTGATTTAGAAGAATTTTGGGCAATTTCGACATCTTTTGAGTACAAATTTATTTTTAAAACTGTACGTTTCTTTCTCTAACAGATTTAATTCTAGGGAAGGTCCATGTGCGACGAGAGCCTAATAACCGGCGAGAGTATGCCAGTGCCAAAAAAAATCGACAGCAACGTCATCGGCGGTTCGATTAATCAACATGGACTGCTGATAATTCAAGCCACGCACACGGGCGAGGCGACGACACTCTCGCAAATCGTCCGACTCGTCGAAGAAGCACAAACGTCGAAGGCTCCGATTCAACAATTGGCCGATCGAATCGCCGGGTACTTCGTCCCAATCGTCGTCTTTCTCGCGCTGCTGACGCTAGTCGTCTGGTCGATAATCGGAGCGGTTAATATCGCGAATCTTCCCATTTCGGAGGCGGAGAAGGAGGGGTTTAGTAATTCCGAGATAATCTTGCAGTTCGTGTTCAGATGCGCCCTAAGCGTGCTGGCGATAGCGTGTCCGTGCGCTTTGGGTTTGGCCACCCCGACGGCGGTTATGGTCGGCACCGGCGTCGGCGCGCTGAACGGTATTCTAATCAAGGGCGCCGAGCCGCTCGAGAACGCGCACAAAGTTCGGGCGATAATGTTCGACAAGACCGGCACAATCACCAAGGGAGTTCCGGCCGTTTCCAGGATATGGTTGCAGGCCGACGTTGTCAGTCCCGCTGTGATCTTCTCGGCTTTGGGATGCGCCGAGAGTAGCAGCGAACATCCGATCGCGACGGCCATAGTTACTTTCGTCAAGGACTCGCTTACTACCGAACTGAGCGGCGCCTGCGACAATTTCCAGGCGGTTCCCGGTTGCGGTTTAAAGTGCACAGTGTCGAGGATCTCGGGAATGGTGAAGAACGCAAAGAATTCGATCGAGTTCAGTCACTTCTCGTCGCTGATCGGCGGCGGAAGTTCGGGCTTTTTCACGCTGCACGGCGTTGCAATCGAAGTTACCAACAGCGGCGGGCAAAACTTGAAGTTGGGAGAGTTAATTGGGATCGAAAGACCCGCCGAGCATGGCAGTGGCCAGTATGAGGTTTGTATTGGTGTGATTCTTCTGTTGGTAACTTTTAGGTTAGGTCCCTAAATTAGTGGTTTATAATTACATTCCAACTAATTTACTAAATCTTTTATAAAAATTTTTGAAAAAAAAATGGTGCCCATTTTGCGACCATTTCGGTTAATTTTTTAATTTTCACTTTTGGCTAGTTTTTCGTAGACGCTTGTGAATTTTTTAAGGCGCAAAGAGTGGCATACGTTAGCCCCATGGTTCTTCTTTAGAACGCCGTGTTAACAGTTCGGGTACCTTCAATATTAGTGAAATTATTAATTTTTGTGTGAAAGTATGCAAATTTCGAAAGATGAAACCGGTTCGTTTTTCATAACGAGATTTGGTTATTTTTGCAATCCCCGTGGCGAAATGTATAAGATGTCATCGAAAAAGCGACGATTTTTCACCATTTTTTCTTCGGTCATTGTAAGGTTTTCTGTAACTTTTAAGTAGGACGAAACCTTCTTTCTGATAAAGCGCAACGTCCGATATGTCGATAATTCTTTGTTTATCACAATGAGTCAGTTTATCCCGTTTTTATTGGAAAGGCGCTTCACCGATTCTAAAATGTTCTCTCACCTAAATTTTAACACTCGTAAATTCACGGCTTTGTGACGAATTAGGCTGCCAATCCGTTTTAGCTTTCTCCTTTTTGCGTAAAGTTAAACTCTTCGATAACTCGTACTGTGCCACATATTCGGTTTTGTTTAAATGTTTCCCATCAACGTAATCGAAGTTTTTTTTAAAAAACGCGCCACTGGCACGAACAAATTGGTACATTTCCATTTTTGAAAAAATCTCACCGCAAAATACTAAATTCTCACTAAAATCATACGTGCTCACTCTTTGAAAGTGGCGCCTCGTTTACCGACAACTCGGTCTCATTAGCTTTTTATCTCGACAATACACACTTTGTTATCGCTCTTATCTGAGACAGACTTTTGTTCACGTTCGCTATGAAGCGGTATATGTGTAAATTTTGCTATGTTGAACAAAATTCAAATTTGAAAACAAAATTTTTGCAATTCTAAGGCCGCCACCCGGATGGATTCAGCACGAATCAAGCAAATATCAGTCAAATGACATTCAAAGCGAAAGAGTGAGTGCGATTTGTGCCACATAAATCAAGCAAATATCAGCAAACTGATACTCAAAGCGAAAAAGTGAGTGTGAACTATGCCAAACTCATCTCCGGTTCGCTCGGCATATGTGTATATGTACATTTAAAAATCATATCTTTACCAATGCCGAGCGAGCCGAAGGCGAGTTTGGCATAAATCCAGCAAATATCAGCAAACTGATACTAAAAACAAAAAATAGGAGCGATTTGTGTATATGTACTTTTAAAAATTATATCTTTACCAATGTCGAGCGAGCCGAAGGCGAGTTTGGCATAAATCCAGCAAATATCAGCAAACTGATACTAAAAACGAAAAATAGGAGCGATTTATGGCGAACTCACCTTCGGTTCGCTGGGCATATGGGTATATGTACATTTAAAAATCGTATCTTTACCAATGGAAGGCGAGTCGAAGGCGAGTTCGGCATAAATCTAGCAAATATCAGCAAACTGATACGCAAAGCGAGAAAGTGGGTATGATTTGTCCCACAGTCGTCTACCGCTGGCTCGGAATCTGTATATATGTACATTTAAAAGTCATATTTTTACCAATGCCGTGCGAGCCAAGGGCGAGTTTGAGATAAATCAAGCAAATATCAGCAATTTGATACCCAAATTGAAAAATCGAGTGCGAGTTATGGCGATCTCGCCTACCATTGGGTCGGCATCTCTATACAGTGTGTCCCAAATCGGGTGGGATTGCATGGTAACTTTGTTATTATTAAAGATAGAGAATTGGTTAAATGGGCAATGTTTTGCAGTTTTGGATGCGTATTTAAAATTTCCTTATGGAAATTCAAAATGTCGCATAGGTTCGACGTAAATTCAGAAAAACTAAAATTGGTCATTTCCTTGAATGCCTTATATCATCGAAAGTATAACAGATATAAAAAAAAGTTTTATATAAAAGTGACTGTACGCTTAATATAGAATTGATGTCAAAAAAAAATTCAAGATGGCCACTTTTGAGGAACATTTACCAACTTCCTAAAGTTAAATGGGCGCCATATTGGATTTTTAGATTACTTGATAGATTTTTAAATTCTCTTTTCAACGAGCTATTATAACATAAGATTGAAAATAAGATACCAGTTATATTAACGGTTTTTGTATTTTAATCAAGTAGTCTGTGACGAATAAAAAAAAACAAAACAAAATCTATTCGAGGCAACAAAACAATGAAAATAATTCACCAGATGTTTAAAATACTGGCCATTATTAGTGAAACACACTTCAAGACAGTTTAGTTTAGGCAACGTGTTGCCATTGATGATTATTATTATTATTGTAGTGGTAGCTACTTCCACTTTACTTTTATTTTTTAATTAAGTACTTACTTTTATAATTTAATGTACTGTACATAATTCGTGAATTGTGACCTGAGCAGCCAGTTTGTTGGTAGATAGCATAAACTAACCCTTCCTTCGAAACATATGTTGTCGAGAAAAATCCTTTAAGGAAGTTTATTGGAAAATTTGTTTATAATGGTGAGCAGTTAAAGATCCATCGAAGATTACCGGTCCAATTACATGACTTCCCATTATGCCATAAAATACATTAATTAAAAAAAATATTACTTGATTTCGGCGTGAAATTACAACATGTAGGTTTTCCTGTGACGAGTAGTGTTCATAATGTCGATTTGAACACTTCGCAGTTAGAAAAATAAGATTCATCTGTCCATATACTCGGACTGGTAAAACTGTTAGTTTCGATATTCTTGCGGATAAACCACCTACAAAATGTGACCTGGGACAATGCATCAATGGTAATACATTGTGTAAAATAAAGCGAAGTGTCTTGAAATGTCTTTAACTGGATAATGGCATGACTTTTTTCGAGGGGATAGTTTGTAGTTATACCACCATTTGTAGGTATGTAAGTATGGATAATAAGTCAATAAGTGATGTTATAAAAATCAAATTTTTCTAGACCTAATGCTTATATAAAATTTTGGAGGGAGTTGTAATGCCCAAACCCCCCCTCTCATGAGTGGGTCCCTGATTTTGATGTAATTATTTTCATTGTTTTGTTGCCTCGAATAGATTTTGTTTTGTTTTTTTTATTCGTCACAGACTACTTGATTAAAATACAAAAACCGTTGATATAACTGGTATCTTATTTTCAATCTTATGTTATGATGGCTCGTTGAAAAGAGAATTAAAAATCTATCAAGTTATCTAAAAATCCCATATGGCGCCTATTTAACTTTAGGAAGTTGTTAAATGTTCCTCAAAAGTAGCCATCTTGAATTTTTTGTTGACATCAGTTCTAAATTAAACGTATCAAAGACAGTAACTTTTATATAAAACTTTTTTTTTATATCTCTTATACTTTCCATGATATAAGACATTCAAGGAAATGACCAATTTTAGTTTTTTTGAATTTACGTCGAACCTATGCGACATTTTGAATTTCCAAAAGAAAATTTTAAATAAGCATCTAAAACTGCAAAACATTGCCCATTTAACCAATTCTCGATCCTTAATAATAACAAAGTTACCCATGCAATCCCACCCGAACTGGAACACACTGTATATGTACATTGAAAAAATCCAGCAAATATCAGCAAACTGATACTCAAAACGAGAAAGTAGTTGCGATTTATGCGGAACTCGGCATATGGATATATGTACATTTAAAAATCATATGTTTACCAATGGCGAGTTCTGCATAAATCCAGCAAATATCAGCAAAGTGATACGCAAAGCGAAAACATAAGCATGATTTGTCCCAATGTCGCCTACCGCGGACTCGGAATCTGTATATATGTACGGTTAAAAGTGACAACTTTACAAATGCTGAGCGATGCGAAAGCGAGTTCAACATAAATCAAGCAAATATCAGCAAACCGATACGCAAGCGAAAAAGTAAGTGCAATTTGTGCCGAATCACCCCGGCATTTGTTATTACAGCATATAAGTCAAGCAAACCTCAGCAAAATCATGTAAAATATGTTTTAAGTCCAGTTTGGGTTATACTGGACGTTGATACCAATTTGCTTATTTTAAATGCAATTGTTCCGAATAATTTTTGATTTTTTGAATTTTGAATGTTTTTTGTATACATTCTGTATTTTATAGTTGTTTCCCACTATGCCTTAATTTTTTAATAATCCAAATCATGTTTTTTTGAATTTTCTCTAATTTTTTGGATTTCAAAAAACACTTTATGATGAAAAACGAGGTAGATATTATGTTATAAAAACACGGAGGGAACCCAATTTAATTTTTCCGAAATTTTCAAAGTGGATTTTCATTAATTTTCAATTCTCCAAATTTTTGCTATTTCTTATTTTTCCGATTTTTCTAACTTACTGAATTTTTCTCACTCGGGCAAAGTAACTATGAATTCATATTTACGTAGCAGATTTTTTCACTTTTGAATTCTAATTTTTTTATTTTTCGAATTAAAAAAAATTAATTCGCTCGTGACCAATCGATTTTTCGAGTTTTTAGAACCCGGTCGAGCTCGCGTCTGCCACTTAACTACCTAACACGGCCTGCGTTATCCTCGAAACGCGCATCGTTATTTTTCTTATCTCCAGACATACCTTCGTTCACGTTTACTATAAAGCGGTATACGTGTAAATTCCCCCAAAATACAAATTCGAAAAAAAATTTTTTAAACTGAAAAGCGATCACCCGTTACCGTATTATTTATAACATCAAAATCAAGGGCGCGTGGTTACGAGGAAATAATTTTGAGTTGGTTAGAGTTTTTATTAATTTACTTTAGCTATGCGTGAATTACATATTGTACCACTACAGGTAATTGTTGGAAATCGAGAGTGGATGAATCGAAACGGATTAATAATTCAGGACGACATCGATCGAAAAATGATGATCGAAGAGGAACAAGGACGATCGGCCGTCCTGTGCGCCATTGACGGTTAGTGCACAAGTCGACTAAACTAAACTAACCTAACTTTGTAGGCCAGATCGTTGCTATGCTAAGCGTAGCGGATACGGTGAAACCGGAAGCCCACCTGGCCGTCTATTGCCTGAAGAAGATGGGACTCGACGTGATTCTACTGACGGGGGATAATAGACAGACCGCGGCAAGCATCGCGCGACAAGTCGGTATAACGAAGGTGTACGCCGAGGTTCTTCCGTCGCATAAAGTCGCTCGCGTGCAAAGGTACCCGCTCCTGTTACATTGTTGCCAAGTTTATACTGTGTGGATTTTACAGGTTGCAATCCAAAGGTATTAAGGTGTGTATGGTGGGGGACGGTGTCAACGACTCGCCCGCTCTTGCACAGGCAGATGTTGGTATGGCCATCGCGGCCGGTACCGATGTGGCGGTCGAGGCCGCTCATATTGTACTTATGCGTAACGATCTCTTAGACGTCGTCGCCTGTTTGGAGCTATCCCGCAAGACAGTACGACGGATACGGCTCAATTTTCTTTTTGCGAGCATGTACAATCTCCTAGGTAAGTACGTCGAATCGGTCTTACGTTCGCTGCAGTCGGCATTTCAGGTATTCCACTCGCCGCCGGGGTCTTCAGCAACTTCGGCCTAGTCTTACAGCCTTGGATGGCGTCCGCCGCCATGGCGCTTAGTTCAGTATCGGTGGTCGGTTCTAGTCTCTTATTAAAAACGTGGAAGAAATCTACCAAACGCGATCTGGAGACGCCGGAATATTTAAGTCTGGCGAAACACGACGAGTTAGATACAATTTCGATTCATCGCGGTCTCGACGATTTGGAACAGCTCAACGGAACGCCTACCGCCATATCAAGGTACACACGAAGTTGTAATTCCTGAACCGATTATAAAATTAATTTGTAACAGTTTAAGATTAAAAATTAGTTTCCTGTTTACTTTTATCAATAAGTCGTTCAACCTTATCAGTAACTGCTCGGTTAAATGACGCAGTTTAGTTTTACGACGCAATTAATATTGATCTGTTTTAGGATTTTGGGACGAAAGAAGATCGAAGAACCCCTTCTTCTCTCTGTGGATTGAATCTGTGCATAATTTTATTTAAGAAGTAAGCTTTAAATTTTATTCGTACGTGTGGTAACCTCCTTTACTTAATGGTATTGTACAATTTTTTAATTATCTAATATTAAAAAAATATTTTGTTTAATAGGTTTGCTGTGATTTTGTCTTATTCTGGAAGATGCGTGAGTTCTGACGAAGATATACTTAACCGTGCATTTTTTCAGGTTACAGCAAATAGTCCAATTGTATGTGAATGATGGGTGGATATACTCAGTGCGTCATGTTTCGAGGCTGTGGCACATTTTTCTAATAAAGAAAAGTTAGGTTAGAAAGATCGATCAAGTGCACCTTATGTCCAAATTGGCTCCTACCTACCACACCTGCGCATGCCAGATGCTTTTTTGTATGTTTGCTTTAAAAAAATTAAGAAAAAATCTTAAACTTGCAAATAAGGGTACGCATTTAAAAAGAAATGTCTGTACCAAAGAATCAAACTCGAGTCGCCCGATGCAAACCTAGTATCCGTGCCAGTAGACGATTCCATCGTGATTGAAATGAGAATTACACGGCAAGAATAAGCTTTGGAAATGGTAGTTCACCAAGCAAAAATAGAAATAGGTTGGGGAAAAAAGAACTTACCAAGAAAAAAACCAGCCCACAAACTAATATTAAATTGTGTACTAAAATTAATTCTTTGTTGAATGTATAACATAAACAGGATTTATACAGGGGCGAACCCGGCTCAGTTCAAGGTCGGTGACCTTGGAATTAGTTCAAGGTGAAAATCGCGTGTCACGTGCGTGATGACCTTGGAAATTAGGTCAACAATGGATGTGTTAATTTACATTTTCAAGGGTATACAAGGTCAATGGCCCCATTTTTGAGGTGTCAAATTACATATTCGAGGTCATCCAAGGCCAATGGCCGCATTGTCCAATTACATTCTCAAGGTCAACGAGTTCATTTCTTGCCGTGTCAAATTACATTCTTAAAGGCATCCAAGGTCAATGGTCCCATTTTTTTGCGATGTCAAATTATTTCTTCGAGGTCATACAAGGTCAGTGACATCACTTATGTGGTATCTAATTACCGTCCAGGTCATCCAAGATCACATTTTTGCGGTGTGTTATATGACGTCTAATTACATTTTCAAGGGCATACAAGGCCCCATGTTTGCTGTGTCAAAATACATGTTTGAGATCATCCAAGGTCAACGACCTTATTTGTATGGGGCGTCTAATTGCATTCTCAAGGTCATCCAATTTCAGTTCCAAGGTCAATGGTCCCATTTTTGTACCATGTCAGTTTTGTGTGGTAACATGTTTGCACCGACTTAGCAAATTCTGCAGAGGCACCTCTAAATAGCATTATGCGGGTCACTCTGTAATTGGGCGCATGCCGGTTGAGGGCCCAAAACAAGAGAGGGATAATAATAATAAATAATAAAGGTTGACCCAAAACCAATATTTAGCCATTGCATGTCAAAGGTTAAGTAAAAGAATTGATTAGGAGTAGGGTGTAGTGTACTTAACCCCCAGGTTCTACACTAACTTCACACTACAAGAATACGGAAATAAAGTCAACCCGGCAACGTTTCAAAATGGCCACCCGACTGACTATTCCCTCCAAAACTAAACGAGATCCCGCTTAAATTTGAAAAGTGGCACGTGATAAGACATCTAAGGCAGGGCCCCCTTACATTAGTTGTAAACAACGCTTTGACCTGAAGTACAGTAGGGAAGGAACGTTAAAATTGTGAAAAGTTTGTTTAATAATGATCGCAATTATTATTGATTGCAAAAGCTCGGAAATTTAAGTCAAAATAAATTACATTGCAAAAATAAACTTTGAAAATGCTAGTTCACCGAATCAAAATAGAAATAGGCTGGGAAAAAAGAACTTAACAATAAAAAACCAGTTGTCAAATTAATATCAAATTGTGTTGTAAAATTAATTGTTTGATGATGTGAATGCGTAACATAAAATTATAACATCACAAAAAGTAGCAGGTAAACTTCTAGAGGTAACAAATAGGTTAAAAACAAGTTTTGGGAATTATGGGTCAGGTAAGCAGGTTCCAAGATTCTAAGAAAGGATGAAATACACAGGATGTGACTCATCTTTGGTGCAATAAAGTCCTTTTGTTAAAACCAAGATGGAAATTTACATGGCCTTGTAGGCAAATTTAACTAACCGTAAAAATATGTGGAAATTATTGAATCGCCACCCATTTATCGCACATAGATTCTAAACTGAAGAGCTTTGATTAGCGTAATCCCGCTCCGGCAAGATAGGTAACCCGCCTCTGGTTTCGGGGTTTCGAACCTACAGGTGAATGTCGAAGACAATCACGGAATTAGGTGTACTTCAAATGATTACAGTTTTTACCACCCCCGTGACTGCTTCATTCACGGAGAAAATTGTTAGTTACAAACAACAAGTCAGTACATACATCAAACGAATCGGTAATTTCCACATATTAAAATAAAATTATCAAAACTTACATGAATGTTACTTTAGGGACAAGACCAAGTAATCAACATCAATAAACATAAATTAAGCAAACATTATGTACACCAAAAACGTAAACAATTACAAACAATAGCATAAGGGTATTTAACATGTTATTCTGCATTGCGGTTAAATCAAGTAAATTCAAAGTCAAAGATTGAAACACACAAAAAAATATAAAATGCGGCATACAAAACACAAATACGATAAAAAAAATTCAAAAATTACTACCGCCATTCAAGACAAGATGCCAAACGTAACCCCCGTCCGTTTTTTCTAGATGGCGCAGGATGGGTGCAGGCAGCTTTTCCCACCTAGAAATTGCATGATTGCCAACTCTCAAAAATGTATGTATCGTCGTGTAAGTTGTATATACAGGGTGGAACCTTTCAAGGGTATCGGCTCTTTTTTAAGACACACAAAAACAAATACATCTTTGGCGTGTGTCAGGTGCACTTTTACCTGCAACGACAAGTCGAAATTTCAAAACAAGGAGGCATATCACATATTCGAAATGAGTCTCCCTGCTCGGTTCAAAAATAGTGTAAGGAGCATTACGTTAATTATAACATTACAGCAAACAATGGAACATGCTGTAGCAAAATATTAGTACAAAGTAAAATTGGGACAATGTCAAGTAGAAATTTAGTCAAAATTTAGATATTTAATCAGGTTTTACTTTGGTGCAATAAAACTCTTCTGCATGATGTAAAATTACATGGCCTTGTAGAGCAAATTCAATATTACAATAAAATTGGAATTCAGTGAATTGCAGCACAATCACACAGATTCTAAACTGAAGTGTTTTCATTAACAGAATCTTGCCCCCGAGATAGATAACTTGCCCCTCGTCCGGGGTTTCCGAGCCTATTGTCGAGAGCATTGAGTGTTGTAACTCATTTGGTTACAGTTTTTGCCAACCCCGTGACCGTCTCTTCAAGGCGAAAATATTAGTTTACAAACAGCAGGTCAGTGCAGATACAATTCGATAATGTCTACAATCCGCATGTTTAAAAGAATGATCAAAAGTATAAATCTAATGTATGTACCTAATCGAAACAAACAAAAGGTTAACGGTGTCAAACGCATGAATCTGCATTGAGGTTAAATCTAGTCATCTTCAAAATCAAAGATTGAAACTCACAAAAAAATATAAAATGTCGCATACAGAACACACATACATTATACAGAAATGCCAAGATTACTACCTGCATTCAATAATACAAAATAACAACAACCATTTACGGAGCGATGCTTTCGTAATCGCCATTAAAAACAAGATGCCGAACGTAACCAACGTTCGTGCTATCCAGGTCGCGCAGAGATATCTCTATCTGTACAGGGGCGACCCTACACACCCCCTTTCTTTCTCAATGAGGTCCAGAGCCCGTTTCTCTCAATAAAGGATAGGAGATACTGTTTGGCCTAAGTTGCTTCACCCTCCCAGGTTCCACATAGCTGTCTATCCAAGGAGCTGGTGTCTGTCTCTGATCAAGACGTCACAGTGAAAGACCACGTGCTCGGTAGTTTCATTTGCCTCGCCACAGAACGGGCGCGTAAGCTTCTCCACAACCCCAATGTTGTGCAGGTATGGTAGTTAACCATCCAGTGCACCATAATCAGTGTTATAGAAGCGTCAAACGCCCAAATTTGCCAAGGGGCCCTGTTAAAAAGGCCCTAGAGCTACACTGTGTGTCTGTGGTTGCTTGTCGCCACTGAGCCGCGCCCGGATTGTTGGTCCCTCTAACGAGGAGTCCAGAAAGGGATTGTTTGAATAATCGTCCATGCAATTTCCACGAGTTATGCGGAAATGCGGTTTCAGCTGGGCAGAACTGATTCCTGAGGCCTTGCTGCTGGCCCCTTCCCGCCCGGTATCTGAGGGGCACCCCATGTCATGATACTCAGTCCTCGGCACGGTCGCTAACATCCTTGACTTGGGAGGTTGGTCCGCGGAGACACCTTCGTCTCTACCAATCTGGGCTTTAGCCCCGACGAACCACTTTTAATCGTCACTACCCGCACCGAAGCCCGAATGTGCCTCCACCGCACGATCGCGAGAGCAATTGCGTGGTTGCCAGCTCTCAAAAATGTGTACATCGTCGTAAATTGTATATACAGGGTGCAGACTATAGGTACGGCAGAAAGCATAGAACTTTTGATGTAGGTATAGCCCAGTTGCAAGCTCCCGCCCTAACAAAAAGCGGGGAAAGCCTGGACTCGTACCCAAACTTACTATTGGAAAGGTGGAACGCAAATACCACACTTATTGAAGCGCAAAAGGGAGTTTATTGAGTAATTCTTCAAAAATGCAAAATTTACCAAATGCCGAAAGTGTTCCTACAAATTTAGTAAAAAAATATGCCGCGTTTCCTTAGAACTCATCGGAGAAAAGAACAGACCCGAAAAAAACTGAGAATCATTTGTTCACAGAGGGCAAAAATAGGGGAAAATCATTTTTCAAAATGGCGGTTTTCGAGATATTGACATCAACTTCCTTATTTTAAATGAACCCATATTGGATTTTTACGTCACTCGATAGAGACAAAATTACAAAAATGCAAGTTTGATTCCCAAACGAAATACTAAGTAGGTATTTAGTGTCAATTCTTTCTCTGTCGAATGACGTAAAAATCCAATATGGCGTCCATTTAAAATAAGAAAGTTGGTATCATCTCGAAAACCGCCGTTTAAAAAAATGTTTTCTGCATCCATTGAATTTATCCCATCCAATCTTGCAACTTTTATTTGAAACTTTTTTCGATAGCTCTCTTTTTGTTACTAAAATATTTGAACTTTTTAAAAATGGCGATTTTCACTTTTTTCCAATTATCTACGAATTGAATTATTTTTTTTCAAAATATCGCATCGGAATATCCATCAGCATCAAAAACTACACAACTTTTCCAATTTATCCGAATCTGTAAGTATTTAATATAACAAAGATAGCCATGCTATCCTACTCAATTTAAGACACCCTGTATGTAAGTGTACCCGATGAAGGCAAATAGTGATGCTACATTTTACAATGAACCTCAAATCTAATTTCAAAATAAACTTTTCCAAATAACAGTGAGACCTCTAGTGGCAGCACATTGTAATAAATACAGGTGGGACAAGACCGCCATTTCGATAGCGTTTCTTTATTTGCAGTCGCCAAAAGTAAACAACATTGTAGTGTAGTGCGCGTCCATAGTCATACCCCACCCAGATTTCGTTATACGCATCCGTGGTGATGTTGCACGGTGACGTCATACCGACGCTATCTTCACATATGTACATGGTATATAAAAACATACGTACCAACTAAAACCAAAAAAAAAAACATAAATGGCGCTAAATTGTCACTGATTACAGCGTTTCCCGTGGTTGTACGGAGAACTATTTATCGCAGATTCAAATATTTTTTTGCAAAACCTGTAATTTTGCTCGTTACAGGAAATATTTTTACCGTCGATTTTATACGTACACAAGTTTTCCACATGTCAATTTTGACTTTTGAAAGATTTAAAATATGAACAAGTTATGTGACCGTAAAAAGTTTTGTGTGGCGGATTGTAACAATAAAATATCAAAAAGGCATCGTTTCCCACATTTTGAAACAGCTTGTTTTGTGCTTGAAACGCGAAGAGGGTCGAAATGTGCTGTTATTTCTTTCCTATTTATGCAAGGTAAGTAACAGGTACAAATTGACGCAGAATTATTACCAACTGTACCTATAGGCGCAAAAGGGTGTAGACTTGAGTTTTATATTTATATAGATGTAGATACTTATATTGTAATTCGTTTTAGATAATTCAACAACTTCCACCCTCGCTTCTCAAGTAACCAGTAAACACCAGGATCAAGTTAACATTTATTGTCAAAAACTTGTGTGACAATTTGCTGAAACGGTTTTATCACCTCTTGGAACAAAAAATTTAGTTCTAAAGATATTTTTTAACAAAAATATGTAGTCCAAACAGCAATTAAAACCAAATATTTCGTAGGACAACTCGTTACGTAAGGATCTTTTTGCAAAGTGTTAACTTCTACAAAGCGTAAGTTGCACTTACTTTTGAGTTTTATATGTAATTTGTAAACATGTGTTTTAAGATGTCTGTGTTAAATAATGTAATGTGATTGTATCTAAATACACTTGCAATTTAACAACTGTGTATTCTTTATCTATATTTGTGATTTAGATCGAATTGGGGAAATTACTTCATGGATTTAGAAGCTGGTCGCCAGATGGCGCTACTCTGATTTTGATGCTTTAGTTCACAGTACACCCACCAGGGTCCGCCAAAATACCATACAAATTCGTAACATTGCTGTTTCTATTCTGAGAAGGCCGTATTCTGTGCGTTAGACAAACCACACTTCTACGGCGAGCCTGCACAACGTCTAGGAGACATCCCCCAAATTCATATTTTGATTCCTTTGGGGTAAGTAAGTACTCTTCTTTGGTCCCATTCACAGAAGAAACGTTATAGTTGCGATGTCTACAAATGTGAAAGTTGAACCGGAACCGAAAGAAGACGAATTAAATGCACCCGTTGATAGAAAGGATTTTGTCCACAACCTTGTCGCAGAAACGATCAAACAAGAACTTGATGAGAGCGGGTATTCTAATGTTACCTGTATTTGGGAATGTAAAAGTGAGGTACAGAAGACGGATGAATTTGTTGAACGCTTCTCAGAGAAACATTCTGATACTTTTCCATATACTAAGGAAGCTATTCGAAAATGTTTTAAGTGTGAACAGTGCAATTTTACAACAAAGTACAAAGGTAATTTAACGAAACATCTGTTAACTCACAAGACTACCAAGGATTTAAAATGTTCAGAGTGTACGTATGCAACCAATACCAAGTCTAATTTTAAAATACATTTGCTTACGCACACCACCTACAAGGATTTAAAATGTGACCAGTGTGATTATTCCACGAACAATATATCCCATTTCAAAGCACATACGTTAACACACAAGATTATTAAGAATTTAAAATGTGATCAGTGCGACTACGCAACCACTCATAGTTCCTACTTGAAGAAACATTTATTAAAACACACCAATTCCAAGGACTTCAAATGCGACCAGTGCGATTACGCAACTTGTTTTAAACATCATTTGAAATCGCACGTATTAACACACAATACTTCTAAAGTCTTAAATTGTGACCAGTGTGATTTCGCAACAAACTATAAATCGTACTTCAAAACACACCTTTTAACACACAAAGTTTCGGTTCTTCCGGTGAGTAATAAATATTTAAAATGTGATCAGTGTTGTTACGCTACTAATTTCATTTCTCAAATGAACCGACATCTGCTAAGACACAAGACTTTGAAGGGTTTAAAATGTGACCAGTGCGATTATGCAACCAATAAGAAGTATAATTTGAAAACCCATCAGTTAAAACACAAAAATTCCAAAGATTTCAAATGTCCACAGTGTGATTATGCAACAAATTACAAGTACTCCTTTACAACACATCTGTTAACGCACAAAAGTTTTAAAGATTTAAAATGTAATCAGTGTGATTACGCAACTAACAATAGATCTCTTATGCGAATACATCTCTTAAGGCATAAAATTTCCAAAGATTTAAAATGTGAGCATTGTGAATATGCGACGAATATAAAGGGTGACCTCACACAACATATGTTACTGCATAGAACTTACAAGGATTTAAAATGCATTCAGTGTAGTTACGCAACCAATAGTAGACTCCGTTTTAAAGAACATCTGTTAACCCATAAGATTTCCAAAGATTTAAAATGTGCCGACTGTGATTATGCAACCAACTTTAAACACAAGCTAAAGCAACATCTGTTAACGCACAAGTCATCCATGGATTTCAGATGTGCTCATTGCTATTACGCGACAAATAATAGAGGCCATTTAAAAACGCACTTGTTAACGCATAAAACTTTCAGACATGTTAAATGTAACCAGTGCGATTACGCTGCAAATAACGAACAGCAGATTAAAAAGCATCTGTTAACGCACAAGACTACCAAAGATTTCCGATGTACTCATTGCGATTACGGAACCAATAATAAATCAAATTTGACTGGGCATCAGTTGAAACACAGAACTTTTAAAAGTTTAAAATGTACTCAGTGTGATTACGGAACTAATACGAAGTCCTATATGAGAAAACATCTGTTAAGGCACAAGATATCCAAAGATTTAAAATGTGACCGTTGCGATTACGCGACAAACGTCAAAGACGATCTCAAACAACATGTGTTGCTACATAAGCCAAAGGATTTAAAGTGTACTCTGTGCGATTACGCAACTAACAATAGAAACAGTTTTAAAGAACACCTGTTAACTCACAAGGCTTCCAAAGATTTAAAGTGTGTCCTGTGCGATTATGCTACCAATTTTAAAAACAAGTTAAAACGCCATCTGTTAACACACAAGACTACCAAAGATTTCCAATGCACTCTGTGCAGTTATTCGACCCATTATAAATTCAAGTTGAAAGAACATCACCTAAGACACAAGACTGTCTAAGGTTCATTATCCAGTGATTCATTGCCATTTGTACGTAGATAGTTTGGTGCTAGTCATTTTTGAAAGCGCTTAAAACACTCCGGATTTGAAAGGGAATTGTGGAATGGCCCTCATTATGACGAAGCCACGACAATTAAAAGATGCTAATAAGATGGCGGCTGTGTCACCATTGTACTTTACGTGGTTGGTTACTTAACAAAAGGTACATTCGTACAATATATGAATCTTTAATGAGTGTTGTATGTAGGGTATCCGTAAAAATTTCCAGAATATTTTTTGTCATTTATTTAATAATCATTTGATTGAAATGTATACTAAATTTAATTGTAAAACTCAAAAATAAAACAAAAAGAATTACAGGTTTCTTGTCTGTTCATTGAGATGCCCCAACCTTAGCAACGTCTTGTGAATATGATTGTCGATACGAAGCACCCTATACATCATGTTAGTTACACAAGCTGCCAACCGAAATCTGGTGGGATTACAGAAAAGGGAAAGAAAGCGAAGATGAGACAGATGGAATTTCTCGGAAGACCACATGTGTTTACCATTTCAAACACCTGCAGTCCAGTTTTTTCCTAGAAATGCAGGGAATGGGGGATTTTCGGGTGGTTTTTGGGGGTGTTAAGAGATCAAGTTACCGCGTCGCTTGGGGTAGTCAATAAATACGATTTAACATGTGTGTTCATGGTCTTTTTCTGGTAACCGGCTTAAGTGTAAAGTACGGCTTATCTTGAAATATTTTGTTATACCTTAATCATTGCTGTGTGCTTTTGTTTTTTATATCAGGTGAGGTATTTGCTTTATTCAAAAAATTAGTCTGGCCATTCAGCGCGGCAATGCCGCTAGTATTATGGGCACTTCCCTTCTACAATATCTTTAGATGAAATTTTCTTCCTCTCTTAAATCTTGAAACCTTGTTTTTATTAAATACATGTAAGTTATATTATATATGAAATTCTAGTGACTTTAATAAAACACCAAATCTCAATCAAAAAATTGCATTTCATTATATTTGCTTATTTTGGGCTATGAGTAATCAAGAGGGAAGTGTGCTTGTTTAGAGGGGATCGAGTTATTCAAGTTTATACGGGCCTTGGTGAACCTAACACTATCATTTTCACTCGTTCTGAAACTCAACCACTTTAGCCCATGTCTACAGGCAACCCACTGGGCCTGCGTAATCCTACCGGCCGGCGATACATATTTAATATCTCTTAGTTTCGTCTGATGTATGCGTTGTAATACCTGGAGAATGGCTCGATTCCATTTTGGTTACTCATAGCGTGTATGTATAGTATTTATCCCGGTTTCGAGAGGGCTAAAAAGTGCGGTACAGTAGATGTTAGCTGTAGGCTTTGTTCATTATAGGACTACTCCGAATTAGGTTTTCCTGCAGTTTTCCTAATTCGTAAGGTAAATGCCGGAGTAGTATAGAACCACTTAAAACCCTCTGCGGGGGGCGCCGTATTGGTATTGGTATTAGCTTCAATATAATCTTAATCAGCTATTGCTTTTGGTGTTCCTTACCCATAAAACTCCCTTAGTGCCTGCTGAGAACCCAGTTATTATGCAACGTAGGTGTCCTACATGACGATCAGCGAGGATATTCAAATAGGTAGCCATATTAGTTTGGCGTTCCCGCTACTACAGAATATGGTCAAATATTCCGGCGTGACTTGAAGTTGGCGTTAGACCGCCAGGAGACCAAGGTCATTATAGTCCAGTCATATTAGTGTTTCACCTCGGAATGAAAGATAATAAGCTATAAACTTGTGTAAACCTTTATTTTGTCATTCTGAAAGTTGTCTAAAAAGTCACATAAAATCTCGTGTCCGTGTCTTAAGATATTCAAGGTCAAAGGTCTCAAAAACCGTTTTTTTTGCAAATATCTCGTTTCCTATGGTTTTAATACCATTTGTACTTATTATACAAAGTGTAGGGAATAAAATTATCTACAACTTTTACCCCCAACATTTTTCTATATACTCAACGGTTATTGAGAGAGAAAAAACAGAGAAAAAGAATCATGATACCCGGGGGTTAAGTACACTACCAGCATGGCGCTTCCTGAATTTACTTATTTGCTCAATGAGTGAGTTGTCTGTTTACATTTTGTGTAATTGTTTGTTCTACGGCCGATAACGCAATTAAGTTTTGTACCTATACTGAATGTAGCAATTTGCCAACCGTTCCAGAAGGAGGATTTGAATTGTTCTTGCAGCTTGGTGTAACCGGAAAGAAGAGAGACAATTAATATTTTGAGATTTCAGCGTCGTTAACTAATTATTAAGTATTTTAGTTTCTAATAATAAGTGAAAACCAGGATAGAAACGAGTTCCAAATCGAGGTGTTATCATTTTGCGACCTTCCATGCGTGTAGATAACGACAACAGTCGTTGTACCAGGAAAATACCAATTAGGTCCAGCTGTTAATTGGATTAATGTGCACCTAATTGGGTAAGAACTGTTAATGACAGATGACGTTTTGAGTTGCAGTGAACGGTATCAAAAACGGTCGTGAGAGGTGTCTCCGGATGCGCTGTAATTTTTACAGAAGGTTGCAGGTTAATTGTTCCATATTTATCCGATAACTGCAGGTCGAGTACCTTATTAATTAAAAAGGGAATTAATTTGGTTGGCGTTCGTACTACTAAATACAGCGAAGAGCTGGATTTCCCGTATTCCACTTCCCTAAGAGCCGAATTTCTTTGTAAGGTAACGTGTGATTTTGTCCAGATCTTTTGCATTGTTACCTTAACAAATAAGTTTTGTAAGTATCGAAATTTTAAGTTTAATTTTGCAACCGTAACGTATTTTGCTCTTTTTGCTTGAGAAGTTTCACCCTGTATATACAACTTTACGACGATGCACAGATTTTTGAGAGTTGGCAACCACGCAATTTTTAGGAAGGAAAGCACAAACGGGGGTTACGTTTGACATCTTGTCTTGAATGGCGGTCGTGAACGCGTCGCTCCATAAATGTTTGTTATTATTTAATGCAGGTAGTACCTACTTTGCATTTCTTTATATCATATTTGTGTTTTGCATGCAGAATTTTATATTTTTGTGAGTTTCAATCTTTGTTTTTGACTTGATTTAACCTTAATGAAGAATCACACATATTTGATACCGTTATGCTATTGTTTACGTTTTTGGTGTAATGCTTACTTAATTTATGTTTATTGATGTTGATTACTTGGTCTTGTCCCTGAAGTAACATTCATATAAATTTTGATCATTTTATTTTAATATGCGGAAATTACGGAGTTGTTTGATATAGGTATGTACTGACTTGTTGTTTGTAACTAACATTTCTCCGTGAATAAAGCAGTCACGGGGATTGTAAAAACTGTAATTGAATTGAGTTACACCTAATTCCGTGATTGTCTTCGACATTCAACTGTAGGCTCGAAACCAGGGGCGGGTTACCTATCTTGCAGGAGCGGGATTATGCGTTAATCAAAGCTAATTAGTTTAGAATCTATGTGCGATAAATGAGTGGCGATTCAATAATTTCCACATATCTTGTTTTTAGTTAAATTTGCCTACAAGGCCATGTAATTTTCCATCTTGCTTTTAACAGAAGGACTTTATTGTACCAAAAGATGAGTAACATCATGTGTATTTCACCCATCAGAATCTTGGCACCTGCTTACCTGACCCATAATTCCCAAAACTTGTTTTTAACCTATATGTTACCTCTTGAAGTTTACCTGCTACTTTTTGTGATGTTATAATTTTATGTTACGCATTCACATCATTACAAACAATTAATTTGATATTAGTTTGACGGCTGGTTTTTTATTGGCGAGTTCTTTTTTTCCCAGCCTATTTCTATTTTTAATCGGTGAACTACCATTTTCAAAGTTTATTTTTGCAATGTAATTTATTTCGACTTAAATTTCCGAGCTTTTACATTCATATTAAGATTATTAAACAAACACAATTTCAGTGTTTTATTTTACGTTCCTTCCCTACCGCGCTACTAACGTAAGGGGGCCCTGCCTTAGATGTCTTATCACGTGCGCCACTTTTCAAATTTAAGCGGGATCTTGTTTAGTTTTGGAGAGAATAGTCATACGGAAGGGGGGAGGGGTGACTTTATTTCCGTGTTCTTGCAGTGTGAAGTTAGTGTAGAACTTGGGGGTTAAGTACACTACACTCGTATTCAAAAGGTGAGCTTTACATTACTGACCGTTTCGCTAATTATAAAAGGGGGAGGGGTTGGAATTTATTGCTCGCTTTCCACAGAGTTGTTTTCGCTCCCGCCTTTTTGTTTTAGTTTTGCTGGAGTGACCATGTGCTGGACCCTACTGATCCCTAGAGCTACCATTTCCCTGGTTGAGTTTACACCAATGGCTACTGAGACCGACCGGCTTATCGTTGCTGATGCCGACCTCGACCAGGCGCAAGAATTTCACATGATGGCGCCCGAGCCCGGCTGTTTCTGCCGCTGTCGAATTGTATTATTTCAACTTGTTTATTTATTTATATTTGTTACTTTAATTGTCTAAAGTTCCTTGTTTGTACATATATACTTGGGTCAAGCCCGCAAGAACGGATCACAATTAGCAGACGGGTTTACTAAACAAAAAACAAACTGCTCAATATGTCAATTTTAATTTACAATTACTTGCTTTGCGGGCCCAACGATACAATATTGAATTGCATCGAAAGGTCAATTTATTTCATAGTTTCTCTTCGTAAAGCATATTATTTTCTGCGATACAATTTCAGGATAAGAAAAAATTATATTATCATTTTTTTTAAAATACAAGGTGATTGGTCTATATTGAGTATTTTATCACAAACAAAACAACGGAAAAAAAATTTTTTTTACACGCAACAAAAAAGAAAAATAGTGGCCATTATCGAGAAACGACGATATTTTTTATTTTGAAATACTTTTCCCATTAGGAACTAAAATTTCTGGAAGTCAGTCTTAATAATAAAAATTACATTATCGAACATCATCGTAAGTACTCATATAAATTAACTTATTTACAATAATTAAAAGAACTACTCGGATCACTTATGAATGACACGGGCCTAAAATTATAAATAAAAATAAATTGACGAAAATCGATTAAAAACAATAAAAAGAAACGTGTCACTTAAAGGGTGATCCGAATAGTGGACAAAGCAAGTGTGATGTGTTGAGCAAAAACAAATTCCTTTATAAAGACAAAAATCGCAGATCAACTGTCCAATAAATTATATCACAAAATTAATCGTACTAAATCAAACCTAAACCGATCTAGATATTTCGTCATGATAGTATACTAGATACAGCTTCGTCTAAATCTAAATTTGAGTTTTGTTGTAGGTTAAGTATGGAATCGATAGCTGACTGAACGTGTTCGTCTATGCTATTGTTGCCACTTTCACCTTCACTACTGTGTGACCCGTGGGACTGTACACTATTTTTACTATTTACACTGTTATGTACACTGCTACAATTCGTGTTATTGAACGGCGGCACACCGTGTTGTTGAGCGTGAGCACCGTACATACTATGGACGTCTTGCATATGAGTAAATTGCTGCTGCGTGAACTGCTGCTGTAATATATTTGTACTATGATAAACGCCCCCGACGTTGGTATACTGTACGCCGCGGTTACCGTAATGCATCGGCGGCCTAACGTTCGGCAAACCGCCCGTCGGATTGCCGAACTGAGACTGCTGCAATACATTCTTTTGCTGCGCGACGCCTTGCGCTCTAACCGAATTGACCGCAAAATGATTCTGCTGCGCGTTACTCGTACAATTACCGCCTACGAAACTATTCTGTCCGCCGGAACCGTCGCAGTGCCTTTTACTGTGCTTGTCGACGCGAAATTTTTTCAACGTCTCCAACCGCGAATCGCTACTGGCCGATCGTTTCGTTTGCGAGGCGTTCGCGACGATCTTCTGCTGCTGCTGTCGCATCTCCTCGACGGACGTCGGCTGCAGGCAGCCGAGCTCGCGCTGTATGCACGCCCACTCGTCGTACTCCTCCTGCGCCTGTTCCGCCGACGGATTCGTCGATTGGGACGAGGCGGGCGGCGCGATCTCGACGGGCGGACACTCCTGTAGGTCGTGCCTGAGGCGCATCAACGACTGCTGCTCTTCGGCAAGGAACATGCGGTCCAACATCATCAGCTCCGATGTTTGTACTTGACGCTAAAAAAAAAACACACTTAAGAGAGTCATAGTTACTCCTCCACAACACAGAATATAAGATAAACTGGTAAGTAGGCGAAAGGTCATCTAAAAATTGAAAAATGTTTGGCGAGGTGTATCTAGATCAAACTTAAGAGTTGTAACAAGATCGTGATATCAAACGCAGATTGTGGTAATCGGGATTTTTTGAATTCGCTTTTGTTATAATAAAAAAAATGGCAACAGCGAAATGTCTCGAATCTCCATTTTGTATGCAGCAATGCAATTTCTACATACCTTACTCAGTCTGATTTAGTTATACCTCAAAACAGTTTGTTGGCGCATTTTTTGCAAACTACCATCGACTCATTTTTACCAGGGTACAATTTATCTCACATTTTGCGGAAAAACAATGTAAATCCGTACTTTCCAAAAGGCCATAGCTATGCACGCTGTTTTTCTTTACTACAATCATCTATGGTTAAAAACGTCATGTAGACGTTACTTCCGTCTAAACAACGAAAATAATGACGGGATACCCTGTATGTGATAGTAATTTCAATTTAGTGAAGTAAATGGGGGTATAATTGGTTGATTTCATTTGAGTAATTTTAAAATTTTCTTATTTTAAATTATTGAACGCCTGCGTGCGGGGTACTATGCCCAAACAAGCTTTGTAAGCTTCTCTTTCTTCCAGGAATTATTCGGAAGAGTACGAGGTGAAAGTTTCAAATTTGATTTTTTCGAGCTAGCTTGACAGGGGTTTTGTGGGTGGTGTAGTTGACCCCACCCCATTTGCACACAGCAGTATATGGCGCATATAATCCACAAGATTTTTCTTGCCTCAGGTGCCAGAGAAATACGCTACCGAATTTGCGGATGTTTTATTAGGCTTCGCCACCTGGAATAACGATGGGACACCATGTATGTGCATTTCAATTATTTTTAACACACTTGGACACAAGATTCGATTAATCACCTTGTATTTTATTTCTTTGTTCAATTTTATTACATATCAAAAGCCTAGATTTAAACATCTGGAAATAATTGCCTAAGATTTGAAAGTGTTATCTCCGGTCATTGCGATAAGAGCGTTATCGCTGCGTAGGCTAATTAGTTTCAAGATAGGCTTTGAAGATGTTATTTCGCCGATAAGAAGACACACGTATTCAATTTATTCGAAGACGGAGTTTTAAGTGATACGGAAAGGGAATTAAATAGAAGAGTTTTTTGGTGGACGCTGAAACGTAGCCGCTTATTTATTTGGTAATTGTCAGATTTGCAGTTATTTGAGCGTATTATTAAAAGGACAGTCAGTCTTTATAATCATAAAGTTCTTGTTAGAGAAGAAAGTTTAGTTGAGTGCTCCGAGTATTCAGAGATTTAAGTCGAGTGAGGCGGAAGCGTGTATATTAGTCGAATTCGAGGTCAATTTTAATTCGCCTTGTATTTTATTTATTTGTTCAATTTTATTACGTAGTTAAAACCTAAATTTAAACATTTGAAAATAATTGCGTAGGATTTTTAAGTGTTATCTCCGGTCAATGCGATAAGAGCGTTATCGCTGCATAGGGTAATTAGTGTCAAGATAGGCATCGCAGATGTTTTTTCGCCGATAAGAAGACACAGGTGTTCAATTTATTCGAAGACGCAGTTTTAAGGGGAACGGAAAGGGAATTTGTTTTAAATAGAAGGAGTGGACGCTGAAACGTAGCCGCTTATTATTTGGTAATAGACAAATTTGCCGTTATTGAGCATATCATTGAAAAGACTGACTGTCTTTATAATCATAAAGTTCTTATTAGAGAAGAAAATTTAGTTGAGTACTACGAGTATTCAGAGATTTAAGTCGAGTGAAACGAAAACGTGTATATTAGTTGAATTGGAGGTCAATTTTTAATCACCTTGTACTTTATTTATTTGTTCAATTTTATTACGTATTTTAAGCCTAGATTTAAACATTTGAAAATAATTGCGTACGATTTGTAAGTGTTATCTCCGGTCAATACGATAAGAGCGTTATCGCTGCATAGGATAATTAGTTTCAAGATATGTTTTTTCGCCGATAAGAAGACACAGATGTTCAATTTATTCGAAGACGCAGTTTTAAGTGGAACGGAAAGGGAATTTGTTTTAAATAGAAGGAGTGGACGCTGAAACGTAGCCGCTTATTATTTGGTAATAGACAGATTTGCCATTATTTGAGCGTATCATTTAAAAGACAGTCAGTCTTTCATAAAGTTCTTGTTAGAGAAGAAATTTTACTTGAGTGCTACGAGTATTATGAGATTTAAGTCGAGTGAAGCGGAAGCGTATATATTAGTCGAATTCGAGGTCAATTTTGAATAACCTTATATTTTATTGATTTGTTCAATTTTATTACGTAGTTAAAACCTAGAGTTGAACATTTGAATATAATTGCGTAGGATTTGTAAGTGTTATCTCCGGTCAATGCGATAAGAGCGTTATCGCTGCATAAGCTAATTAGTCTCAAGATAGGCATCGAAGATGTTATTTCGCCGGTAAGAAGACACACGTATTCAATTTATTCGAAGACGGGGTTTTAAGTGGAACGGAAAGGGAATTTGTTTTAAATAGGAGTGGACGCTGAAAAATAGCCGCTTATTATTTGGTAATTGTCAGATTTGCAGTTATTTGAGCGTATTATTAAAAAGACAGTCAGTCTTTATAATCATAAAGTTCTTGTTAGAGAAGAAATTTAGTAGAATACTACGAGTATTCAGAGTTTTAAGTCGAGTGAAGCGGAAACGTGTATATTAGTCGAATTCGAGGTCAATTTTTAATCACATTGTATTTTATTTATTTGTTCAATTTTATTACATATCAAAAGCCTAGATTTAAACATCTGGAAATAATTGCGTAAGATTTGTAAGTGTTATCTCCGGTCAATGTGATAAGAGCGTTATCGCTGCGTAGGCTAATTGGTATCAAGATAGGCATCGAAGATTTTATTTCGCCGATAAGAAGACAGGTATTCAATTTATTCGAAGACGCAGTTTTATGTGGAACGGAAAGGGAATTAGTTTTAAATAGAAGAGTTTTTTTTTGGTGGACGCTGAAGCGTAGCCGCTTATTATTTGGTAATTGTCAGATTTGGAGTTACTTGAGCGTATTATTAAAAAGACAGTCAGTCTTCATGAAGTTCTTGTTAGAGAAGAAAGTTTAGTTGAGTGCTGCGAGTATTAAGAGATTTAAGTAGAGTGAAGCGGAAGCGTGTATATTAGTCGAATTCGAGGTCAATTTTTAATCACATTGTATTTTATTTATTTGGTCAATTTTGTTACATATCAAAAGCCTAGATTTAAACATCTGGAAATAATTGTGTAAGGTTTGAAAGTGTTATCTCCGGTCAATGTGATAAGAGCGTTATCGCTGCATATGTTTCAAGATAGGCATCGCAGATGTTTTTTCGCCGATAAGAAGGCACAGATGTTCAATTTATTCGAAGATGCAGTTTTAAGTGGAACGGAAATGGAATTTGTTTCACATAGAAGGAGTGGACGCTGAAACGTAGCCCCTTATTATTTGGTAATTGACAGATTCGCCGTTATTTGAGCGTATTATAAAAAAGACAGTCAGTCTTTATAATCATAAAGTTCTTGTTAGAGAAGAAAGTTTAGTTGAGTGCGATGAGTTATAAGAGATTTAAGTCGAGTGAAACGGAAGCGTGTATATTAGTCGAATTAGAGGGAAATTTTTAATCACTTTGTATTTTATTTATTTGTTCAATTTTATTACATATCAAAAGCCTATATTTAAACATGGAAATAATTGCGTTAGATTTGTGTGATCTCCGGTCAGTGCGATAAGAGCGTTATCGCTGCGTAAGCTAATCAGTCTCAAGAGGGACATCGAAGATGTTATTTCGCCGATAAGAAGACACACGTATTTAATTTATTCGAAGCCAGAGTTTTAAGTGGAACGGAAAGGGATTTGTTTTAAATAGGAGCGGACGCTGAAACGTAACCGCTTATTATTTGGTAATTGACAGATTTGCCGTTATTTGAGCGTATCATTTAAAAGACAGTCAGTCTTTATAATCATAAAGTTCTTGTTAGAGAAGAAAGTTTCGTCGAGTGCTACGAGTATTAAGAGATTTAAGTCGAGTGAAGTGGAAGCGTGTATATTAGTAGAATTCGAGGTCAATTTTTAATCACCTGGTTTTTTATTTATTTGTTCCAGTTTATTACGTATTTAAAGCTTAGATTTAAACATTTGAAAATAATTGCATAGGATCTGTAAGTGTTATCTCCGGTCAATGCGATAAGAACGTTATCGCTGCGTAGGCTAATTAGTCTCAAGAGGGACATCGCTTATTGTTTTGGAAATTGGCAGATTTACAAGCAAGTGTAGTGAAATGGAAAATTGTGAGTAGGTCGGTAGAAATTATAGTGAAGTTTGAGTTAAAGAGCGAGAAGTTTCCAAAGTGACATTACCCAGTTCTAGTGTTAGTGTTGTTTGTGCGGATTTGAATTGGGCATTGCAGTGTAGGTCTGAATTTAAGGGCAATTAATTAATAATCGAACCTGATTTGATCGCGCGCTTGTAGCATGGTATTTGGCTCTGGCCCTGAGGATTGAAACCGGAAAGGTCACAAAAGTGCTTTGCTGGACTACCGAATTTGGTATAATTAACTGTAATTAGTTGAATCAGTTACAGATAACAACCTCTGATTAATCCGAGGTTACATCTGTTAGGTGCGCTCTTAAAAAACTTAAAGTTTGACACTGGTCTCATATTTTTCCGACGTCGGCGAAAGACATTTTTAATTTGTTTGAACGTATCGACGGTATAAGCTTACGAGACGGGAATTCCAGTTTGGCCCCACTTGAAATAGATGTTTAGATAAATACAAAGCACACTATGAAATAGGAACAATCCAGTTACAAAGACAACGAAATGTTACCCTTAAGACCAACTTTGGGGTGCAATACTCACCATGCTCTCTTTAAGCAGAAGAAAGCGATATTTGTCAACCATCCTCGAAAACTTATCGATAAAGTGCCGCGCCGTCAACTCGAAAATCTCGTCCGCCTTATTCAGGTCCTTCTGCGACAGCACCGGTTGATTGTAGCAGTGGTATCGTATCAGTCGCTTGCAGGCGTCGGCCTTATCGCGAAACGGCGTGTGAACGTCCGGCTTGATCGCCCCGTTCTGATCCGTATTCAACTGCTGCTCGAGTCTGCAAAAACGAAAACTGTCATAATTCCGCGTCGGTTCGCCCGACTCCTCCCACTTACAGTTGCGCCTTCGTAAAGCTGGGTATGAACTTGTTTTGCTGCACCGGAACCGGCGTCGGAATCGAAATGACGGGCGGCTTGGGAGGGGGCGGTAGCGGCGCGGAAACGCTCGCGCTGACCTCCGCGGCTACCGTGATTTTTGGTACGGTTTGTACTGTTGAAACGGTTGGCTGAAAATAAAACGGTAATGAAAATCGTCCGAAAAAAGAGAATGTTGGTTCTGTTCAGAAGAGGGGCACACAGAGAAATGCTAACCTGATTATTATTTGGTTCGTTACACGGCGGTCGTTGCAGTATCGGCGCTTGAAGCACTTGCGGCTCCGCCTTCACTGGCGTTCCATTTCCGATCCCGAGCGAGGATGGATTTATGATTGTAAGCTGGTTGTTCTGGTAAATCACCTTATCGGGGGGCAGCAGCTTGCCGGACGCCAAGATCTTCTGCTGCTCGGCGAAGAGCAGCTTGAGCGCGGTGTGCATCTCGGTATCGCCGGGCGTGAGACGGCCCGAAAGCGTCTGTATCTGCAGCTGGATGCTCTTCAGGTGCTGCTGCTGTTGCGGCGTCAGCTGAATCGTGTGTATCCGCTGCTGGTTCTGCGTCGACGTCGCAACGCTCGCGCTTCCGCCGGACTCCTCGAGCAGCTGACCGAGTATGTTGTCGACCTCGTGACCGTTTCCCTCCGTGTGCGTCTGGGTCGTTTGCGTCCCCTGGACTTTCGCCTGAACGGGCTGCTTCGGCGTTTGCGTTTGGCTCGAGACCGTCGCCTGGACGGTCGGCTGGACCGTGGCGGACGGCGGTTGCGAGACGACCTTTTGCGGCGTCGGCGGAATCTTCGGGGGCGACTGGAGCGCCATCACCAGGCTCGATTTCGGCGGGGGGTCCTTGACGTGGTTCAGCTTGTCGGAGACGTGATTGACGTTCTTGATGCCGAGATTTTCTTGGAGCGTTTTAACAGCGGGCGATTTTACTTTCTTGACTACCGGCTTTATTTTGGGCGAAAGCTTGATCTTGTTCTCGTGGATGGTCTCCGGGGTTTTATTGGTTATGTTAGGTCGTTGCATGAAAATCGTTTGTCCGTTGACGGTTAGTTGTCCGTTGCGTTTCAGCAGCTCGAGTTGTTCGGGTGTCAAGTTGACAACGTACGAGGTTTGAGGGGGATGATTTTGTTGATTTTCGTTAATGCTAGGTTGGGGTGGGGGAGGATGGTGGATCGTTTGAACGGGCTGCGGGTGAACCGTTTGTACGGGAGGTTGCGTCTTTTGGAACGGCTGTACTTTAAGAATGGGTTGGGTGGGTTGGGTTTGTATCGTCGGCGCGGGCGCCTGCGTGTGCACGGGTTGAGGTTGAATGGTTTGAAGAGGTTGGGATTGCAGTAGCGACTGTATCTGCGAGTGTATGCTTTGTTGTACCTGAGACTGAATTGCTTGCACAGTCGGCTGTGACTGAATGGTGTGCTGCTGTATATTGTGAGACTGAATGGTATGAATCGGTTGAGGCTGCACAATCTGCATCGGTTGCGAGTGAGCGTGCGCCAGCGGCTGCGACTGCACGGTTTGATGCTGGATTGTCTGTTGAACGGTTTGCTGGACGGTTTGCGGCTGCACCGCCTGAATTTGGGGCTGTATTGCTTGCTGAATTGTTTGCATGTGAGGCTGCACGGTTTGTTGCTGCACAGTTTGTATTGTTTGCGACTGAACTGTTTGCTGTTGAATTGTCTGAACCGATTGCTGTTGAATCGTCTGCACGGTTTGCGAATGCACTTGCTGATCAATTGACGGTTGTAAGACTAGGCCGTTCAAACCAAAAATACTTTGCAAAAGAAGCTGCGATTGTAAGTCTTGATTGAGTGTCGGATCGTGCTGCAAAACCAGGCGGCCGTCTTCGCCTAACGCCAGCTTAAAGCCGCCATTTCGCTGAACCACTAAACCGTTATTGATGGTGATATTTGGCGCGATGAAAGAATTCAACGGTATACCGGCGGGTGCAGCTGGAGACGCTTGGAAACCACTGTTGACCCCGCTTTGAAAACTTTGATTAAGCAGCTGAACTAAAGGCGTCGCCGTCGACACGGTAGGCTGCGGCACGCTAGTAATCTGTATGTTTCCAATCCGTTTATTCGCGTCAATATGCTGCGGTCTTATGAGGTTCTCGGTGATCTGCATGGTGGGCTCGCTCTCACTCTGCGACGTGTCGCTCTCAAATTGTATGTCATCCTCATCACCGATCCCGGACAGTTTCATAATATTCGCGAGATCCAGTTTTTGCTTCTTCTTCTTTGGCTTTTTTTTCGGCGGGTTGTTGGAGGTGATTTGTGCTTGAGTGAAGGACAGATGCTCGTTTTGCTGCATGATCTGCGTCTGCTGCGTTATGACGGGACTCGCGACCTGCGTCACCACTTGCGTATGCGGAGCCAGATGCATTCCGTTCGTTAAAACTCGCACCATCGGCTGGGCCGTGCGCGGCGACTGTATCTGCAGGAGAGGTTGACCGCTCGGCTGCAGAATTAGACCTTGCGGAGCGGCAGTTTGTACGTGCGTAGGTAATTTTGCGGTTTGCGGACGCAATATCAGTTGCACTCCGGGAGCAAGCATCGGCATTTGATTTAGTAGTAACGGCTGGGCTGTTGGCATTATTGTGGCTGTTTGTTGGGTTGGTATTACAATATGCGGGCTGAAAAATAAAACAAAATCAATTATTTGCATGAGTTTCCAACTTTACTCATATGAATCATACGCTCAAATCATTTTGCATTAAATATTAGCGACTTCTATTTCACAAATCTTTAAAAATCAGAAAATGTAAAAGAAACCCATTAGCGATGTTGATGGTTTCACACAAGTTGAATGGTGAAATTAAAGCGCTGTAGGGCATACCAACAAAATTATTTTACATTGCTGGCATGGGGAAGTAAAGTTTGAATGAGAAGATGTAGCCCCACTAATAATTAATTTAGAAGATGATTCAGATTAATGTTTTCCGGTTTATTCAGATACTCAAGATTTATCAACAAAATGGCAGATGATCGGCGCCTGCGGTGTTTTAAAATACATGGAGAGATCCGAAAGGAACGCGTCTACGGTGAAAAGGTTGTGGTTCGATTTTAGCAGAACGAAAACACGAAGATAGGCGAAAGTTGATCGCAAAGACGTTCAACAACCAGCTGGAACGATGCACGTTGATGTTTTGGGAAAAAATATGGCGAGGGTTTTTGTCCAGAACAAGGTTTCCCTGACATCGCATGGTTGTGTGTGTTTCTCGTCTTTGCTTACGCACAAAATTATGAGTCTATTCAATTTCCATTCCCATTTGGGTAAAAAAGAACCGCCAGTGCTACCCCGATTCGAAAGTGCCACTAAACGTCCCTCGTTTCGACGTGAAAGTAAGGGTGGCTCTACTCGTATCGGGTAAGTCAATATTGTTGCTTCTCGACTTCGGCTGCGGGAGTAGTTATTACTAAAAAACAATTAAAATACTTTTTTTTAATTTTTCCTTTACGTACAAATAATGATGTCCACCTTGTTAGTAAAATAGTAGCGAAGTGGTTAATTGTAGTCGTTGATGTAATGGGTATCTTTACCCATAATGCAGCACTGTCTGTATGGCTGCCCCCACATACGTACTCTCTGCCATTGATTGCATGCAATGTAAACATACTTAGTGATGACGTCATACTACAGCAATGACGTGCGCGCAAACTAAGGAAAATCCTACTATATTTATCTTCTCCGTTGCAATCACGGTAATCCAGTGAACACTAGCATTAATTCTACATCTAATTTGTTATAGTAAACAATTCACGACCCCCCCCCCCCCCCACTCATTGTATTATTTTTTACTTCAACTCACCAATGAAAGTAAAACATTAAAAACTCAATTTTGTTTAAATAAATGCGAATTACGAAGGGTTCTCTCAAGGGAAAATGATACATGTCGACCGGACGCATGAGAACAAAACATCGAATATTTCAAAAACGGAGCGTAGGAAGACGGAATTTCTTTCTAAAAAAAATGGGCCGCATAATTGCGGCGAATAACAACACATATTTGGATGTTTTGATTCAATCACATATACAGAGCGGCCCAGAAGTACGAATTCAATAATCGTCTTGGAAAAAAACGCTCAGAACCAACGATAATTTTGTTAATGATAAATTCCTGTATACAGGGTAATCAAAAAATAAGTTACATTCATCAACTCTTTGATTTTGGAATTTTAAGTAAAATGCTATAGTATGTTGCATATACAGGGTGTCCCATTTTCCGTAATATATAGGCGTCATGCGCTCTTTTTGAGTCAAAAAATTTAAAAATATCCACTCGCTTAAGAGATACAGGGGAAAATACAAAAATTGTCAATTTCCTAGTTAGAAGAGATACGGAAAATGTTTCTTTACAATGATTGTTGAGTAATTTTCAAAATAAGTGTATGGGATCAAGTAAAAGTGACCAAACCCAACCTCATTTTTTTAATGGAACACCCTGTATATTGTAATCTACAATGTGATCTTTTTAACAATATAACATACCAGCAACGATTCAAAGATTCAAAAAAATTTAAAGGATAAAACAAATTACAAAAGGTACAGCTAATTTTTAAAAAAATTCACGATTTTTGAATTTTTTTAATTTAAAAATCTTTTGTTTGTATTATATTTTTGAAAAGAGCATTTAATATGTTATCTTTTGTTTCTTAGAGATCCTGAAATGTGTGGAAAAATTTACAATGATTGTTGAGTAATTTTTTGTGTATGGGATCAAGTAAAAAATTGACCAAACCTAACCTCATTTTTTTAATGGAACACCCTGTATATTGTAATCTACAATGTGATCTTTTTAACAATATAACATACCAGCAACGATTCAAAGATTCAAAAAAATTTAAAGGATAAAACAAATTACAAAAGGTACAGCTAATTTTTAAAAAAATTCACGATTTTTGAATTTTTTTAATTTAAAAATCTTTTGTTTGTATTATATTTTTGAAAAGAGCATTTAATATGTTATCTTTTGTTTCTTAGAGATCCTGAAATGTGTGGAAAAATTTTTCCACATTTATTTTTAGAAAAATCATCAGATGCTCTTCTTGGAAATGGAAATCGAACTGTTGTATAGATTTTTCCAAAAATAAGTATGCAATTCCTGAAGGCTGAACGGTTTATAAACGAAAATGGAGAGATCGGGGGGGGGGGGGGGGCGTGGAATACCCCCCAGTACACACAACAGTTCTATAGTCATTTCTACAAAGTTGCTATGGGAAAGGGGCGATGGTTATAGGAAGTTATCGAGTCTTTCTTTGATGTTAATTAAATTTTCCGGAAATGCTCATTGAACTGCGAAACCCCCCGGTACTACTGTCTCTGCAGTACTTCTTACGAGAAGAGGATCTCACTATTTTTTTTCCAAAAGTAAGCATACGATTCCTAAAGGATGAACGTTGTATGGAAGAAAGTGTTACCGGGGAGGTGTGTGGGGTATAGAATACCCCCCCCCCCCAAGTTCTATTGTCATTTCTAGAAAACTGTGAAAGGGGCGATCTTTCTCTAATTTAAATTTATTTTTCGGAAGTGGTCATTGAACTTTCGGGGGGTATTCCGGTACCTCCCATACCCCCCCCCCCCCGCAGTACTACGTTCTGTAGAGGACTTCTTACAAGAAGAGGATCTGACGACTTTTTCCAAAAATAAGCATGCACTTCCTGAAGGTTGAACGTTTTATGGAAGAAAGTGTTATCGGGGAGGTCTGTGGGGTATAGAATCCCCCCCCCCCCAGTTCTATTGTCATTTTAAAACTGCGAAAGGGGTGATCCTTCTCTAATTTCAATTTTTCGGAAGTGGTCATTGAACTTTTAGCCCCCCCCCCTCCCCTCTCTCACTACGTTCTGTGCAGGACTTCTTACAAGAAGAGGATCTGACTATTTTTTCCAAAAGTAAGCATACGATTCCTGAAGAATGAATGTTTTATGGAAGAAAGTGTTACGGGAGAGGTGTGTGGGGTATAGAATCCCCCCCCCCCCCCCAGTTTTATTGTCATTTCTAGAAAACTGTGACAGGGACGATCTTTCTCTAATTAAAATTTTTCGGAAGTGGTCATTGAAGTTTCGGGGGGTATTCCGGTACCCCCCATACCCCCCCCCCTCCTACTACTTTCTGTGCAGGACTTCTTACAAGAAGAGGATCTGAAGACTTTTTCCAAAAATAAGCATGCGATTCCTGAAGGCTGAACGTTTTATGGAAGAAAGTGTAACCGGGGAAGTCTGTGAAGTATAGAATACCCCCCCCCCCGCCAAGTTCTATTGTCATTTTTAAACTGCGAAAGGGGCGATCTTTCTCTAATTTAAATTTTTCGGAAGTGGTCATTGAACTTTCAGCCCCCCCCCCACTACGTTCTGTGCAGGACTTCTTACAAGAAAAGGATCTGACTATTTTTTTTTACAAAAGTAGGCATGCGATTCCTGAAGGTTGAACGTTTTATGGAAGAAAGTATTACCGGGAAACCGGGAAGGTATACAATAACCCCCCCCCCCTCTATTGTCTGCTCTTTCTCTAATTTAAATTAAACTTTGCTTTTCTTGCTGGGGGTATTCCATACACCCCCCCCCCCTTCCCTCATTCGCTACTACGTTCTGTGCAGGACAGGACAGGAAAAAATGATTTGATTTTACCATTTTAAGTTTGAACCAATAAGAGTATGTAACGCCTATGTTACTATTACGAACTTCTTTATTTTTCTGTATATTCACGCGAGTAGAGTGTACAGGGTGTCCCATTTTCGACAGGTTTATAGGGTATCTCAGTAATTGTTAGTGCTATCAAAAAAGGAAATATAGGCGTCATGTTATGTGCTCTTATTGAGTCAAATTTAAAGTGGCAACATCAAAATTTGAAAATATTTCCTCGCTTAAGAGAAACGGGGCAAAATCAGAATATTGTCAATTTTGAAATGACCCTATATTTTCTTAGTTAATGCAAATACAGAAAAATGTTTTTTTATGATTGTTGAATAATCTGTTGTTTTCAATATAAGTATACAGGGTCAGCTAAGGACTTAACCTAATTTTTTTTTAATGGTACGCCCTGTATATCTTGTTCTAAAAGATATTAAATTCTCTCTTCGAAAGTATAGGACACTAAGGACGATATGCAAAAAAGATACCACTGATTCAAAAAGATAAAAAATATTAAAACAGAATCAAAGATATTGAAAAATGGTTCAAACGAATCGAAAAAATCACAAAAAACTTTCAAACAATTTTTTGAATTTGAAATTCTTTTAAAAATTTGTTTGAATGTTTTTGAACCAATTTTTATCCGAACCCCGTATACCTACCTATTTTGAAAGCCGTAGATTCTTTAACAATCATTACAAAGAAACTTTTCTAATAAACGTCTTGTGTATCTCTTTTTACTAAGAAAGTACTTAAAGGGTAATTTTGAAATTGAGATTTTTTTTAATTTACGCCCGTATCTCCTAAGCGAGGGAATATTTTTAAATTTTGATTTTACCATTTTAACTGACCCAAAAAGAGAACATGATTTTTTTGGTAGCAGCGATTTTTCTTGAAATTATCCCCATACAGAAACACAAGATCAAGAATGCGCGAGGGCAAAAACAAGCGCATTTCTTTATTTTTCTATGTATTGACAAGAGTAGAGTGTACAGGGTGTCCCATTTTCGACACTTATAGTGACTCTTTTTGTGCCAACATATTCGCTGGCTTAAGAAATACGGGGGAAAATAAAAAAATTTCAATGTTAAAATGACCCCATATTTTCTCAGTAAAAACAAAAAAAGGTTCAAAGGATTCAGAGAAATTCAAAAATTATTCAAAAAGATCAGAAAAGAATTATAAAAAGGTTTATATGATTCGAAACCCACTCAAAAAGCGTTCAAATTGATTTTTGGATTTGAAATTGTTTTTTTGTAAATTTTTTTTAGATTTTTTGAACCAATTTTGATTTTTTTTTGTTTTTAGTGGAGAATTTAATATATATTTTTTGAATAACATATTCACGGTGTCCTATTTTTAAAAAATGAGGTTAGCTGTGATAACTTTTTTATCTGACCCCCTATGCTTATTTTGAAAACGGCCAATTACACAAAATGATTATAAAGAACCTCTTTAGGATCATTTTGAAATTGACATTTTTTAATTTTTCCGTGTATTTCTTAAGCGAGCAAGAGACTACCATTTGAAGGATCTGACGACTTTTTTCCAAAAATAAGAATGCAATTCCTGAAGGCTGAACGTTTAATGAAAGAAAGTGTTACCGAGGGGGTCTGGAACATCCCCCAGTATACACAAAGTTCTATTGCCATTTCTAGAAAACTGTCATGGGAAGGGGATATTTTCTTGCAAAAACAAATTGAGCAACTTTTTTTAATTAACGGCATTCTACAGATTCATTAGGTGAATGCCAGCAGCATAGATATTGTCATTTATAGCAATTCGTGGATGGCGCTATATTTTGAAACTTCCAGTGGAGCCTATGATTTGACATTTCATTGATTTACTTGAATACCATTATAGTCATAGCATTCAAGTCATTACTTACAAACAACTAATTTTGCTATAAAGTTTAATATTAATTTGTTGGATGGTTTTTTTCTTGGTCAGTTCTTTTTTTCCCAGCCTATTTATATATTTGTATTCGGTGAACTACAACCCAGTCTCTCGGGGCTGGCCTGGGTTTGTTACAACTACAAGCATTTTGTAGAATTTTTTTGATATTTTAAAATGTTCTAGGATTGTTTGAGAATTTTCTATAATTTTTTTCCGAACGCACATGCACACACAATTATTATTTCATATAATTTTTAGAATTTTTTAGTGTACACAAAATTTGAAATGGCCGTACATGCCTACAAGAAATTTGAAGATGTAGACGGATTTCCAAAAAAATATCATGGATCTAGTGGATGTCTGATGTTATCCGGGGAGATTCAAGAATATTTTTTTGATACATTGTTATGTTCCCTGAAATGTCCTTTATAGCAAACAATTTTTGGTGGAAGACTAATAATATACCCAAAATAGACTAAGTGATCAAGGCCTCAAAATCTTGGTAATGATAAAACACCCTGTGTGTACACCTTCCACTTAAATGGTGAAAGGTTTTGATTAATATATATAATGGTTATTTTCATTTCCTCCTAAAGCATAGAAAGAGAAAGAACAAGATTTTTACTCTATCGTGCCTACTGAGACCAAGTCCTTTCTCCCAAAGATTTAAATCTTTAAACCAAAATATGCTATTAAATTACTGGGCCTGATTAAAGGCTAGTGGTACCAAATCAGTCCTCACATATGAAGTTTACTCCACTAAATATCCACACAGGACAGTTTTCAAGACCCCCCCCCCCACCCTCTTTTTACGCAGTGAAAAACTGAACAATCTGAATTTCTGCACAAACAAGTTGAAATGGACACCCTGTAGAAAGCTCTTGGCTGATAAAAACACCACACACAATGCTTTACATACAAAGATACAAACCTTGTTGACACACCCTGTGTAAAGGTGGTTGATAAAAACAAAAGACATTAACGCGTTTGTTTTTTCTGAAAACGAATTGAATTTGCAAAGTGCGCGAATGACGTACCTTACACTGGGTTTGGGCGGTTGAGGACTAGCTGACGGTTTTGGTAAAATATTTAGATGCGGCTTCAGCTTAATCGTATTTTGGGCTGTCGCCTGAAGAGGTCTCGCTAAAAGTTGATGGCTACTGTGTATGATCTGCATCACGGGATAACTGGGCTGAGGCGTCGGCGGTTTAAAGCTCTGCGGTGACGGCGATTTCAGGCTGGCGGGCGACGAGTACGGCGAAGGCGGATATCCGGGACTCGGATTCGAGTAGACCGGCGACATGTTCGTCACCATCTGCGGCTTCTTGACCAAATGTAGATTGTTCGAGCCGATCACCGTACAGTTGGTGTTCAAGTTTTCGTACTCGTTGATTATGTGCACCTTCTCGGCCTTGATCGGGAAATTCGTGTTCTTCGGCGATTTACACATCTTCGGTGCGGTCTTTTGCGGTGTCGACGAAGACATTTTCCTTTAGCCGTTATCACCGAGACTTCACTAAGTACATTTTAAAAACAATTGGAATGCACATTTCTCATTGTAGTCTTTGTACTCGCACATTATCGCGCACTTTAGCCGAACTCGAAGAGGCCCATTTCCGGATTGAAGGCCTCCGAACGAAGCGCATCTATTGGGTACATTATTCGTTGAAAAGGCTGCGGCTCTCCATTCTTCCGGGTGTTTGCGACTGAAATTGAAAGCAGTGGTCAGTGGAACGAATTTACTTGCACTGGGAACCTAACCTTTAAGAGTAGTATATTTTCAATTTGTTAGGCGAATTTCAATGAAGTGGCAGCGTACGACAGCATTGAAGCCTCAAAAATCACTCGTGTTAGACTGCCGACGGAGTAAATGATTAATTACGGTTTGTTTATAAACAACTTCGGCAATTTGCAACAAAAATAGTAACCATTTAGCACAGCGCCGCCATCTTTACGATGTGCTTCTTGCGCTACTGTTTGTCGGTTAGCGCCCCCACCCTCCCCCCGCATTTGACAAAAAAATCATCCAAATTACGGACTTTTTGGCAGAAATCCGTCGCAAACGGTCCTAAGGGCAATCGGCAAATTAAGCAATTGCGGTAATCAAAGAAATAATCCAGCGTTATTAATCCAAATGCCAAAATGGAAGGGAGGAGAAAGCACATAAATGGTGGGGGTAAACAACTGCTCTAAAAACCCAAAAAGAGGCAAAAATAGCCATAATTACATAAAAAATGATGCAAATTAGAAAAAAAGTAATTAACACCCTTGATATCGGGCGACAACAGCCGTAATAAAGCGCACTATAAAAAATCAATAAAGAAGTTAGGTTATAAAAGAGTGCGCTTAGAAAAAGCTATTAATCATAATTATGTAAACGGTACAGAGGTAAAATAATGGAAATTTTGAAAAAACGCTTGAAAAATTCCAAATTCAGCGGATGCAAGCTGCATAGAAGTACAACCCACATGATTTTCGAGATAAAATGAATAAAATTTCTACGTACCTTAACAATTTTCACTTCATGGGCTGATACGGGGTTCACAAAAGTAAAAGCAGGGAACTCTCGCTTTTCATTGGCTCTCGCGTGGCGTCATTTGATACACAAAAAAATAACATTTGCTTTGACTACGGATCTGACCGCGCAAAACTCGACCTTAACGCCCCCCACCCTTAGGTCGACCGCCATTAGACGTTTAGGAGCCTTTTAAACTAATCACCTTCGGTAATTTTAAATTTATTTCATTCTAATATACACATAATAATATAAAAGGCACTTAATTTAATTGAAAGACCATAAATTAGGAACATTCCATGGTGGCTAACGAGTCGGAATTCTCATTCAGTATCGGTATTTGCACGGGAGGATTATCGACGGTATACGAAGACCCCGCTTCGGAGTTAGTGGCACCGTCTTGCGTCGTCGATTCCTCCCAGTTGATCTTAAACCGGGTGACCCTCGGCTCGGATGCGAGTATATTTCGAATAACCTACGAAAACACTCAAATCACCGCCTACACCTCGTCACCTACACACCTTATCGAACTGCGGAGGACTCGGGGCGTTTTCTCTAAGTTCTAAATCGCTATATTCGTTATTGATAAAATAGCCTACTCTGATAAATTCCTGCGTTCGGTACGAACAAGTAAGTAAGACTACGGTGACTCCGATCGCGTCGTTCTCCGGGATCCTCGTGACATCGGGAGGGTCCGCCTAAAACGCAATTATACATTTCGCCTACTGACAAAAGCGGCGATCTACCTGAAAGACGAACATGTGTTTTCCTTCGGGAACGGGACCCACGTACACCGAATCCAAGATCTGATCGTACTCTTCACTTTCGGCCGATCCGACGTAGATCATCTTCCATTCCAAATCTGCAAACAGTCTTACGTCTAACAACGAAATCGCGCTTGTGGCTTACCCTCTTTCAGTTCTTCGATGCACTCGAATGTGATTTCGAACTGGAATGGGTTTAAGAAGGGGCTGGGGTTATCCATAACTGTTATGTTGCAAAGTTGCACTTTTGCCATTTTAGCTGGAATAAGTTGGGCCCCCTAGCGCAATAACAGATATGTTTCAAAGGACTGATGAGAGGCGAGGTGACAAATAGCAAGCAAACCTCAACTGCAGGTTTACCCGCTAAAAGTAATAAGGTTGAAGTTGGCGTTCATCTGTCAGATGTGTACAACTGGCTAACTTCAGGTTGATAAAACAAATCAAATAAATGTACAGAGTGTACACGCGTTTGTGTATTAGACGCTGCAAACATTGTACAGTACATCTGTCACAAGATCTTTTTCATATAAGTTGTAGGTTCATAATACTTCGAAAACCCCTAACAGTTGGGTCTGTTATTTAATTTCTGGAGCCTTCCATCACATAAATAATCTAACGTGCGAGGTTTTCGTTTGAAATGTTGCGAATATTTAACTATACATAGAGTGTGCGTAGTAGTTGCTAGAAAAAGTGTTCTAATCTTGCTTGTCAAATATAAAATTCTTCATCACGCGGTAAATCCATTCAGTTCTACAGGTTAGGAGCCCAGCGAGCAGGATTTGAAACCCATAGGAAATAATGGTTCCGGTTCCGCACTATTTAGACAGAATTATTTTTTAAGGGTTCAATAATGTTCGGTTCCGGTTCCAGTCGTTTTTTTGGTTTTAACGGTTCCAACATAAATAAATAAAATTTTTATTATTAATAAATATAAATTATTATTAATTATATAAAAGAAATAACACACAGCATTAAAATACATAATTCTTTTGCATAAACCTATTGTGATAATCCACTTTTATGGTTAGGCAACACACCTTTACTTCTGAAACAAAAATATGATATGCTCTGTATATAACCATCGACCGTTTTGCGCAGATGCCGAATATTAGGGGATTTTCGTAATACAGTTCGATCTTTCGCTGTATCTGTTGCCTACTCGTCTCGCGCGTATTGCAGTTCTTAGCATCTTAGCAATGCGAGTAGGGGCCCTCTCATTAACATTTCCTCTAGGTATTTAAAATATGTTTTGCTTGAGCGATAATCGATTTTCACATGAATACTTGCTATTGGCATTCTCACATGTACTTTTCGTGTTAAATAAAATTATGTTAATGGAAGGCTGAAGTAGAGCCACACCATATACATGTTTCCTACGTACATGCAATTTATTATTTTACGAGTTGTGTTAGCTCAATTGATTGTACAGGTATTTTAATGTGTTTTTGTACTGAATTCATTTATCATGTTTTCCACTGCATTTATGATGTCTTGTGTATTTTGTTTTTATGAACTTGTTTAATTGCATTTGATTTGTTTATCTGATTTTTATCATACAATTTGAGATGTTTTATTTATGTGTATTTTCTCTTGCATTTTATTGCTGTAGGTGATTTATTTCATGTATTTGTGTAACCTATGCCGGGGTTTTTGTCCCGTAGAAGGTTTCCCTGGTATGGTCTTGTTTTGTGCGTAATATATTTATTTGTTCTTGTCATTTCGTACGCACAAAAGTTCTGTCTTTTATTTAATTCCTTTCTCGATTATGTCCGATTACACAACGTAGGAGTTCATTTGTGCCATCCATGTCGAGCCGACTGCAATCCAAATTCAAAAGTGCCGCAAAAGTCCATAGTTTCGACGTGAAAGGTAGGTGGCTGTGCTCGTAGTTTTTTCCCAGAGTTTCCAACGATAGGTATAGGGTAAGTCAACGTTTTCAGTGTCGGCTTGAGAGACCTATAGGAACATTACACTACTTTTTAAGCTTAATCGAAACTTATTTTTATCTTACGCGTTCGTTTCACATCTTTTTCTATTTCTCCTTTTCTTCAGGACTAGTTTCAGTTATTGCTTCCCTAGCTCCTACAATCCTCAACCCTCCGACTGTTTTTTATTCATTTTCGGTATCAGTCACTCTAAAACATTTTTAAGTTGTTTGGTATTGAGGTTAAGTTGGTTGAAATTAGTGAATAAAAGTAAAAATTTGGCTTTTTAAATTTCTTGAAAATTCTACAACTCTGAATGCAATTCACAGAAGGGAAGATTTTATTCTTGGTCTTCCAGTCGATAAAGGATCAGTCACCGACGATAAGGAATGAAAGTGGATTGCACGTGTACTTTCCAGAAAGTATGACTCAAGAATTTTCCTGTTTTTCGTTTCCTAGAGTCGCTCACGCACATTTAACGATATTAACGCGCGTGTTTGGCAAAACGGTTGCCACTAAAAATACGTTTAGTGCTGGTTGGGAGAGAGCGTAAGAAGGAGAGGGAGAGGGAGAGGGAGAGGGAGAGGGAGAGGGAGCAGAGGGAGAGGGAGAGAGAGGGGAGGGAGAGGGAGAGGGAGGGGAGAGGGGAGAGGAGAGGGAAAAGAGGAGGAAGAAGGGAGGGGAGAGAGGGGAGGGAGAGGGAGAAGGGAGAGGGAGAATGGAGTAGGGAGAGGGAGAGGGGGAGAGGGAGAGGGGAGAGGGAGAGGAGAGGGAGAGGAGAGAGGGAGAGGGAGACGGAGAGGGGAGAGGGGAGAGGGAGAGGAGAGGGAATGGGGAGGGAGAGGAGAGAGGGAGAGGGAGAGAGGGAGAGGGAGAGGGCGGAGACGAGGGAGAGGGATGAGGGAGAGGGAGAAGGAGAGGAGAGGGAGGAGAGGAGGTTTTGCGTGCACAATCGTAGCCGATGTATAGTATTTGTACGAACCATGTGCGAACGTGGAATTGGTGTTTCAACATTCTGTTCAAGTTCGATGAAATGAATGCACGTGGAAGGCCTGCTTTAGACTATGAAACAAAGGGGATTGATAATATCCTGTCAAAAGCACTCTTTGATTTAGTAGGTATATAATCAAAGAGAGCAAAAGCTGTGGCGATCATCTTCTCTGTGCACAAGAACTATTTTGTTTTGTTTAGTTTGCATTACTTCACCAGTGGCGTACCTCCAATGTACCCTTCGTATAATATTATAATGTACAGAAAAGATATGCATAAATTTGTAACGTATCGCTTCATTTGTCATGTCGTGCTGAAGAGTTGTGCCCAATTTCTACTACCTATACGTTTGTATGTGGTATGAACACATACAGAGGATACCGAGAGATCTAGTGGCCATTTTTAAACGTTGCGTGTTGATTTTATTTCTGTGTTTCTGTAGTGCCAAGTTAGCGTAGAATCTGGGAGTTAAGAACACTAATTGGCTTGGCTTGATGAAAGGGCATACTCGTTCGCCATTTTGGTTCGATAAATTATTATACTAAGCTGGGAGTAGGGCCCTGAAGTTACCTTTTATTTATAGTGTCTTAGCTGGAATTAGAGCTCTCATTACAAGGAAAAAATGAACTTAAAGAGTGAAGTTACAATTACTGGCTCTAACATGTAATTAATTAGGTACTTTACTTATTACGGTTGCTACCTATTGATAAATGTAATCACGCCCCAACTCTGTTTAGAGGAATAAATCATTTTTATTTGTAGAACCCATTTTATGTAAAATGAAAATAAATAATCGATAAAAACAGCTAAATTGGCCCAGATCAACAAAACTAAAATGGCGGCCGAGTATGCCTTTATGAATACCACGTGTTTGCCGCATAGAAATATGTAGGTAATACTCATATGTCTATGATTTGCTGCCGGACCAGGAAAGTTGTTCCAAAGTGGGCGTCAGGGAAATAAAGGTTTAAACCCCCTGGTGTAGCATATGCTTAAGCAAATAAAACTCTACAATTTATCAAATACGTGTACGAAAAAAATTCGAATTTGACGTTTGGTTCATTAAAGATCTCAGGAATCTATAGAAGACTGAATAAACTAAGTCATAATCCTTACACCATTTAATATTCAATAAAATGTCCCTTTTTTTGCATGCGTAAATCATTATAATTTTGCTCGACCCTGTATAGTACCTACTTCAGTTAATTTTTTTTATGGTGGTAATCAGATGATTATGTTGTCATGCCTGCTGGATCCACTTCAAAAAATATTTTGATTATGTGGTTTTAAAAAGACCATTTTTATATTTATAAGAATTTTTTATATACAAAAATGCCTTCGTTTTTCACTATAATGTAAGTAGATCCTCCGGAGGATCAATAAGTTTTTAACCTCAACTCTTTCAGGTTGTCGCTTCTCTACTCTACGAAAATTGTAATCGCTTTCGTAATATTCCTTATAACGCTATCGCTCGTCGGTCTACCGCTTGTATTTTTCATTCTACGCTGGAAATTCATAGCCGCGAAGCAGAGGAGGAAATCGGAGAAGCAAATCGTCGGCCTCTTCCACCCGTATTGTAACGCGGGCGGCGGTGGCGAGAAAGTCCTGTGGGTGGGCTTGTTGAGCCTGCAACGCAAGTAAGTGTAAACGAAGCCCCGAATATCTCGCCATTGTTTGTCGTAGGTATCCCGACTGTGAGTTCTACGTGTATACCGGGGACGTCGAAGCGACGCCGCAAGAAATCGTGGAGAAAGTCCAGAAGAATCTGAACGTGACCCTCGAGAAAAACGTCAAGTTTATTTATTTGCACAAACGGAAATGGCTGGAGGCGCGGATGTACCCGTATTTTACTTTGCTGTGCCAGAGTTTGGGATCGTTATATTTGGGTTTCGAGGCGCTGAGCTTGTTAAATCCAGGTAACGTGAAAGCGTGATTTAAGGCGGCTGATTCGTGAAATGTAGATATTTTAATCGACACGATGGGGTACACTTTTACGCTACCGTTGTTTAAGTACGTCGGCGGATGCAAGACGGGCTCTTACCTACACTATCCGACAATCACGACGGATATGCTGAAACGTGTGTCGAATCGTGTCGCGATGTATAATAATCGCAACGCTATAGCCCGCAGCCCGTTTCTGACGGCTGGCAAGTTGTTCTACTATCGGATTTTCGCAGCGGTATGTATAGCTACACTGTAAAAGAGTAAGGTAGTGAGACATAACCCCGCTGGTCTCTTTTTGAGACTCATTAGCTACTTCTACCTTCGAACTTGGTCTGTTTGCAGTAGTGTACAGGGTGGTCCAAATTGGACACTTTCTTTATGGAGACATCCTTTATTGTAAGAGATAGGAAAACATGGGCCTAAGTCTCTGGGGCCCAATTTTAAACTAACGCAAACAGAATTCAGCTATCTCTAATCGTTTGGCCGCTAGGGGGCGCTTCTCCAATTTAGTCGGTTTCTGTAATGCCCCATAACTTTCTTATTATTAAAAATAATTGATTTCTTTGAGCACTTTTTTATGTGGAATCAATCGCGATACCCAGTTTTTATACAGGGTGTTTGGTTTTCTTTATACGACCTGAGGGGGCCACATCTGAGCGAGGCGAGGCGGCGTAGCCGCCGGAGCCGAGCGTATATCTTCCCGAAATCAAAAAATCTTAAAAATCATACTACGCATGCGCAATAGACAACTTTTTTATTTGTGGAGTAATTTCATTGAAATTTTTATGGTAGGTTACTCTAATAAAAGCAAAACCGTATTGCGACCAAAAACTGAAGGTACAAATGTAAAATACTCCATTTTTGGGGGTATTTGTGCGAAATATACTCCCTCTAGCGGAGTTTAAAGATGCGTACGATTTTTACCAACTTATACCATGAAATTGACTGACAAAAAGACTTATCAATATATTGGCGTTTTTTTGAGCCGAATCAAATTTCCTTTTTTTCGCATTTTAGAAAATTCCGACATATTTAAACGTATAAAATGCAATATTGCAAATAATATCTTTATATACAGTTTGATTCAAAATGGTGTGTAACCTCGTGTGTAACATACACGACTCTGTTTTATACAGGGTAATTCAACCTTTGAGTACTTACTAAGATTTTAAGAGCGTATTTATCAGCCAAAACTTGCTTGCTTTTTTTTTAATCGGTTTTTATTTATTTTATTCCCAACAAAGGAAGGCCCCTATGACGAAAAATAAACTTACCAAATTTTATTTAAATCGACTGAAAGGTCGATTGAATAATTGATAAAAAATTGATTTAAAACAAAACTTACACACTGTATCTAGAAAACGAAGGTCATGTGTACGAGGTTCGCCGTGAGACAACGTTCGTCGGATCTGCTATTGTCTACTTAAATAAAATTCAATGTGCATCTATCTGTCTATCTTTATGCCTATTGAAATCTTCATCCGATTGCGATGAAACATTGGTTGGACGTATGCCCGCGAAGGTTTCTGAGTTAGTACATAAAACACTCTCCGAAATTCCCACGGGAACGGGAAAAATCGGGATTTTACGGTTCTCAGTCGAAAAGAGACTTGACGTCTAGAACGTAGATTTCTTTGAAGGTGTCTCGTAATTATTTTTGGTATTCATTCGCTGTTGCTTCAAAAAGATTTTTGAAAAATTAAAAAATCTTTGAAATTTTTTTGTACTGTTTGAATTTTCTGAATATTATCCGTGTTATAATTTCATCCGTTTGCGATGAAACATTGGTTGGATGTATGCCCGCGAAGGTTTCCGAGTTAGTATATAAAACACTTTCCGAAATTCCCACGGGAACGGGAAAAAATCGGGATTTTACGGTTTTCACTCGAAAAGAGACTTGACGTCTAGAACGTAGATTTCTTTGAAGGTGTCTCGTAATTATTTTTGGTGTTCATTCCCTATTACTTCAAAAAGATTTTTGAAAAATTAAAACATTTTTGTGACATTTTTTGGTATTGTTTGAATTTTCTGAATATCATCCGTGTTATAATTTTGAAAACAAGAATTTAATATATCTTTTTTATGTTAAAATATATAGGGTGCTTCATTTAAAAAAATTAAGTTAGGTCCGATAACTTTTTTACCTGACCCCGTATACTTACTTTGAAAACGGCAGATTATTCAACAATCATTATAAGCAAACATTTTTTCTGTACCTCTTTTAACTAAGAAAGTGTAGGGTCATTCTGAAATTGAGAGTTTTTTGATTTTCCCCTGTATCTATTTAAGCGACCGAATATTTTCAAATTTTGATCCCAAGAAGAGCACTAATTCTAATAATTATGGATACTCTATAAAGGTGATCACCCTGTACGTCATATACAGTGTCTTCATAATGAAAGGAGCAAATTCATTCGGGTAGTTACAGACCCGGGACTGAAATTTAAGGTCAAGCCGTTTTTTGTGAAAATGTCCACTATTGTCCGTATTTTACGTAATAGTTTCTAAACCGTAAAGTATCACGAGTGTCCGCGCAAAGCGGTTACTTAGAATGGTAAAATTAGTTGAATTAAATTACCAAAATATATTAAATTGCAATTACATGAATTCAGTTTTAAATAACTTTTGGAATCTTCCGTAGTCGGTACGGTTAGTCTCGAGCGCCACCAGAAGTTGCTACCCCTTGCTATTGGTGTAGGTCGGCGAAGTGATTTCGAAAGATCCAGATAATTCAGTCGCAGAAACGGTCAATCCAGGGATTGGGCGGGTACCCGGCGTTTGATTACGGGCGGATAATCTACAACTATTTTGGTTGATTCTTGTTGCCCGAGGAATGCTCTTTTCAACGATACCAAATTTCTTACAATCGGTCAAACGGTTAAGAAGCAGGTTATTACAAAAACAATTGAACGCCCCACGCCATCTTTGTTTTTGAAATAACTGAGTTTTTAATTTTACGAAAATGATAGATTAACTGGTTCTCTTTAAAAATGTGAAAACAGAATGTTTAGTTTATTATGCGAAATTGAAAAAGAATGCAATTTTAAAATTTAAGATGGCAGTTACGCCCTCTGGTGGTCATTTTTAGAACTCGAAATATTTTCCCGCGATTCGACGGATTTACTCAATAATTTTTTTCCCCTAAGTCATATGACGAACAGTTCTCGAGATATGGCCGAGGAACAGTCCTATTGGGTCACCCGGTACCTACCTAAACTTCGAGGCGCATGCAATTTTTTCCGCAAATAATACGCTCTTGATTACTACACCCTGCAATAAAGTACGTGTGGCGATCTAACTGCGCTGGCGGCTCACCGCACTCTACGGCAATTTACAGGTGGATGACTTAACTTCGATCGAGGTTCAACGTAACATTTTCGCACAAAAAATTGAGGTAATTTCCAGGTGACCAACTCTCTCCGAACGACCACCTTCGTTTTCTCTTTTGAGTGACACCATCCTCGATAACGACAACGGCAAAATTAATAAAATCACCCTGTAATCTGAACCACCTACAAAATATCCCACGATTCACTAGCGCCCCAAGTTTTCAAACGCATTTACAAATTGATCTACCTATCATTAGAGATTACCTCGCTACATACTAGTTTTCGAACTGTCGTATAACTTCATCTGATTTTCACAAAAGATAAACTTTTAGCTGTATTCCTGGGCGGGACAGAGCTCCGACGTAACCCTGGTGAATTCGACGTTTACCCTCGAACATCTGAATAACATCTGGTCGCAGCCGCTGCACCTGGTTTATCCGCCTTGCGAAGTCGATCACCTCAAGAAAATCCAACGCGGCAACAAACACCTGCAAAAGATCCGCATACTGTCACTGGCACAATTTAGGCCGGAGAAAGACCATCCCCTCCAGTTACAGGCGCTGTACGAACTACGCGAAATTATACCGGAGGATCTCTTCGCGAACGTCATACTGGTAATGTGCGGCAGCTGTCGTAACGAGGACGATAGGATGCGCGTCAAGGACCTGCAAGATTTGAGCAAGCACCTGAGCTTGGAGAATAACGTCGAGTTTCGCGTGAACATAACCTACGAGGAGCTGATGGAGGAGTTCGCGAACGCGTACCTCGGCATACACACGATGCTCGACGAGCATTTCGGTATAGGGGTCGTCGAACTGATGGCGGCCGGATTGTTGACGGTCGCGCATAAATCCGGAGGCCCCCTGCTCGACATCATAGAAACTTCGGAGGGGTCGCGTCTCGGATTTCTCGCGACTACGGCCGACGAGTACGCGCATGTCATTAGATACATTTTGTATATGAGCGAGGCGGAAGTTTCGGGCGTGCGGGAGAGAGCGAGGGCGTCCGTCGATCGATTTTCTACTAAGAAGTTCCAGGATGAGTTTTTAAGAGCGATCGAACCATTATTTAAGTAATTGTAATTAGGTAATCTTCTTATAAATAAAATAAAATGTGTCGATACCAACCTGATATGCTTTACTAATCCATTCATGTTTGTTATAGTTTTCTCTGATTACATTGCAGTATCTTCACTACCAAATGGGACTTTTATTGGCGCTAGATTAGCTCAGGTTCATGAGAAAGTAAGGTACAGCTAAATCGCACCTTGTCGTGAATGAAAGAAGCTACGCCGCTTGGAGAAGTACTGCCAATATTGTAAGAGAGGGAGGGGGGATTAGTAAGTGAATTTTCAATTCGTTTTGAGCTGTCGTAGCGGTCAGTGCCAGTCGTCAGCGAGAGCGGGAAGATTAATTAATTGTCGAAGCGTTGGTAAAGATCAGGTCAGGGGCCCGTATTCACATTGGGAAGTAACGAAAGAAGATACGAAGAATCGCATACGACTTTTAGTAGGGGAATTTTTTGCCACTACTACTCACATTAGGAAACCAGACTTTTAATCCGGTTCATATTCAATAGCACTGATCCTTGAACTCGTAGAAATAGATTGGCGAAGGTTTGACATCGCTGTCTCTTTTCGTTCTCGACTTAGACGAGGAACAGGCGGACAAAACCGTCGTATTAGGACAATTTTTTATCTTTTGATAAATTTCCCTAAAAAAGAAAACGGTTCGTCAGTGAAAGTTCGGTTAGCCATTTTTTAATTGAGTTTGAAAAGAAACAACCGCACGAATCGGATATGTAAAAAGTGGAAAAATAAATCGAGGAAGGAACCATGTTGGGGGAAAAGCACGCGAAGTTTCATTTGTGATTATGGAATAAACATTACTTTAAAATTTAAATAGCGCGATTTACGCGCAACTTCGTCCAGTCCAGAAGGTATCTGAAGATCGTGTATACAGTAACAGACTAAACTAAAGTTTTAATTCGAGATGAATGCCGCTATCTATCTTTATCACTTTGGCATCTATACCTCTGCACAAGCGAAAAAAAATCTCAAACAAATCAAAATAGGAATAACATCTACATTGATGACAAATAAACCCAAATTCAAGAATCACTTGACCCTGAGTTACAAACAGCTGAAGGTGACATAATTTACAATAAGCACAGAATACGGCCTTCTCAGAATAGAAACGGCAATGTTACAAATTTGTATTACAGTGACTTTATAAGGACAGTGGCGACAACTTATCATAATCCGCCATATTGGAGCTAAAAAATTGATTGTAAGATCAATATACCTTGTCATGTCAAATTGTGAGCGTAGAATAATAAATGTCAGTTTCATTTAAGTAAAGATTCTTGTTCAAAACGAACGGCGCAGAAATGATCGTTTAAAGCTTTGCAGAACAACCTATGGGAAAACAAATGCCTCCCAAATTCAAAATGGTATGGGTATATGGAAAACGGTATAATAAGTATGACATATGGTGCAATATCCAAAATGTACATATAAATAATCATTAAATTGTGTTTGACATTTCAGTGTCTTCTGTCACTTCTTGTCCCCTGTCGCGTGTTGCTCCTTCCAGACTTAAAAGTATTTCTTTAGTCTCTTAAATGGAAGACAAAACACGTTGATCTAGTCCACGGAGTACAAGAGATCAATATTCCATGTGCTCCAGCAAACATGAAACCAATTCAAGCGTATTTACGATCACAATTGAATTTGCTGCTAAATTTCGGATAAGCTGCTTCTCTAACCAGTTTTCTATCTAAACTCATTAGGTATTTAGGGCTTCTGAAAAAAATTTTACATCAATTACCAGTCGTAAGGTTAGGCACAGTTTTACATCTAAAAACACTAAGCGGATTACATACCTTATAATATCGTAATAAATCCAAACTATATGCGTCTTTAAAAATCGAGTTTATATAAAACTGGAGACGGAAAACGTAAAATAAAGCAAATACAAGAAGCAAAGTGTAAACTAGTAACATGAAGCCGTGACAATTACAGGTGACACTGTCAAAACAGTATAATTAATAATTATAGCACGGAGTGTACCGCGTCGTTTTGAAGGTTTTCTATTGGCCAGTTTGGAATTTAGCTCCAATATGGCGACCGGAACCAACGACCAATCAAAAACGAGATACCCTGTTGTCGCCACTGTCTCTATAAAGTCACTGTACTCTGAACATGAACTAAAATCGTGATGTAAATGCACCGCGTACAATGAAAAGAACTGCTAATTTCGAGGTCTTATCATATTAGGTCGACGATAGATCACCTCAAATAATTCTTCGTCATCGGATTCGAATAAGTCAAGAAAATCTTGATCCATTTGGAATGTAAAATAGGTTACTTATATCCTTCAAGAAAACATAGTATATGTACCTATTTGCGTACTTCTACTTACATACTTCAATTTCTTTCTTCCTATTTAGTATAGGTACGGTTGGTAATTTCGCAAATTTTTAAAACGTCACCAGTTTACTAGAAATTTGACGCAATATCCTGGGGTTATGTTGATAACTGCAGAAAATCTACCCAATAACTTTATCTAGAACTTATCCTGCCGATAATATTTAAACAAGGTTCGAAATACACGAAGTGACGCTAACTGTCGGTTTACCTGGACAAACCAATTGTGTAAGTAGATAGTACCACCTACTCGACACGATGTGGCAGCACAATTTATTTACTACAAAGGTAATACTTCACTATCTTTCGATTTTAAAACATGCTGCGACCTCTGATATTTAATAGCTGAATCATGGTTGCCTCATTTCATAACTGGTTCAATTTTTTAATTCGTGGTAGATTTGGAGTAGGGGAAATTAAATACTTAGGGTATAAATTCTCGAGTGAAGGAAAAAAAAAGGAAAAAGGCCAACGTGTTTCATTCCTCCGGCACCCCTGACTACAGAGATACCGGAGGCGGGCTGCTCAGGGCTTCCTGGCCCTCTTCGGCCAGAGAACGGGATTGTAAGGATGGATAAAGTTAGGGATGGGAACGGAGTTAGGGTGCTGAGGGGGAGAGTACTGCTCCAGCATTTGCCTCGTAGATTTCAACATAATGCTAGCATTATGCGAAGCTACGTATGTCTGAGGAAAACCCCCTGACAAAACCCCAGACAGAGCAGTCGGCAGCGGGATTCGAACCCACAACCTCCCGAATAGCATCGGTGAGCGCGACCACTGCGCCACGTGCCTCGGTCGAGTGAAGGGATAATGATAGATGAAGAAAAAATTGATGCTATAAAAAATATGCCTCAACCTAAAAATAAAAAAAGACATACAAAGATTCCTAGGTTTTATCACGCATGTTGGTAGATTCATAGAAAATTTGTCAGAAAAAACTCAACCACGAACTCAAATAAAAAAGAACCGATGATTTCACACGAAATAATTAAAAAACCATGGCAAAAAGTGGGCATTGACTTATATGAAGTATCTGGTAAAATTTATCTAATTGTAGTAGACTACTACTCAAAATTTCCAGAAATCTCGAATCTTCATAAAACTTAACATCTAGTAACATAATTAACAAATTAAAAGCAATTTTTGCAAGACATGGAATCCCAAAAATAGTCGTTTCCGACAGTGCAAAAAAATTCACAGGCATTGAATTTCAAAATTTTAGTAAACAGTGGAATTTTTTATCAATAACATCCTCTCCGCATCACCAACAGTCAAATGTACAAACGGAGAGAACCATTCAAACAATAAAAAAATTAATTAAGAAATCAACTGAAAATAATGAAGATATTTATCTAGCATTATTATAGCTTTCCGTAACACTCCTGTTTACAATTGTTATACACCATCTCAAATTTTAATGTCCCGATACCTCAGAGACAACTTGTTAATAATTGATTCAAAGTTAAATCCAAAATTAATTAACAACACAAAACTTAATCAGAAAATTAGTAATTCTCAATCGTACAACAAAAAGCAATATGATAGTAAAGGTGTAAGACCGAGACAAGATTTTAAAATCGGCACAGCCGTTTGGTATCAATTAAAACCCAAAAGCCTATGGAAAAGGGTAAAATAGTAGACAAACCTAGTAATACAACTTACAAAGTGCAGACATTAGATGGTAAGGTGTTAATTAGAAATAGATTTTATATTAGACAATGTCACACAAATAATGTAGAAAATAAGGATAAGTATTATTCAAATTTTGTATATGAATTTGATGATGACAATTTAGATTCACATCAAAATGTAATTAGTAATAAGGATAGCGATCATTCTAAACCAAGTGTAAGTGCAAGTGACGAGAGAAGCAAAAGACAAATTAGACTACCACCTGCTCTAAATGATTATGTTCTTTATAAATAAGGGAGATGTGGTGTATGCAACCAATCATACACTAAAGTATTGTAATGTCTATGTACATATTGTATCAATGTTCAATGTGAATAAACCAGTTCGTATTTGACTATTAAAGAGACATGACAGCCTACACAAGTTGTACATTATGTACAATGAACGATAGAGAGCCGACCGCATCCACTACAAAATACTGCGTATACATTAAGTAGGTAACGTCATTATAGTGTGATCTGTAGCGAAGGATGGATTGGCAGACTACCTATTGCGTATACCATCGCCAAAGCATTGAGCACTGCAGAAAAGGACTGCTCTGTGCTGTACAATACATTGGCAATACGCAACCCGGTAACGCGTTACGCACATCAACACCCAAATTCAAGAAAATCTTCCGAAGATTTATGAATTTCTGTGTGTTATTGGAAAAGAGACATACCTCCATCTATATCTAGATGGTAGCGTCAATTTTACTTACATTTCCCAAAGCAATAACAGCAATATCCATATCGGAAGGGCTAATACCTAATGACTTCGCTACTTGTTGGTAGTTTACCAAGATGGTAAATGATTCGAGAATCTGCCTCTTAGTGGCTGCAGCACAATTCAGGTTTTACCACATCTTCCCTTGCCACAAATTTATACTCGTAGCACCTTATAGATGTGGCAAACACAACTTTCCTGCCAAGTAAAGGACAATAGGTCTTTTTTGTCCCTGATCGGTATAAGTGTAATCTATAAGAGAGGCTTTGAAACTATCATTGCGAAGTGCTTTTATGAAATTT